TGTCTGTCTGAAATTGGTTCTGGTTCCAATAAAGCCCCTCCTTCTGAATATCCAGCTATCAGTGCGTTATGATTTGTCAGACACAACAAAATCTGATGTAGGTATACCACAATATATATATATATATATATATATATATATATATTACATAGGCCTACACCTAAACACCACGCATCCAATAAAATAAGCTTCAAACAAGCAACAAGCAGCCATTAAAAAGTTCAGATCTTAGACTTTTAACCTGGGCTTAACATACAGAGAGAAGGATTGTGTGTTCAAATGCTACAGTTTGGTGGATTTCATCACTTTAGCCCCTCACGTGTTTTGACAAAAGCATCTCTGTTGGAGAGGGCTCAGGAACGCACCTATACATATGTTCTTTATTTAGTCAAACCAGAAGTGATGAAGTTGCTCTGCTGATTGAGTGACTATAGAACAATAGATGCCATTATAAAAGTTCTCTGTCCTCCTCATTTGGATAACCATGACTAAGTACCTTAGTGGTCTAAGATGCATGTATTTATATAATCTTGATGGTGTTTTCTTAATTGTCTATATGTCTATATGACTACCTATGGTCTCCTTGCACAGTCATATTTGCTTTAGATTTACACCTGTGTCACATTCCTTCTTTTTTATCAGTTATTGATTTACCTTTACTTCAAGGGATGTTCATTGACTTAGACATCTTACTGTATCTATTCATTGTGCTTTTCAATTTCTTGCTTTGTGTTCTTTTTTTCTCTGTATTTGTTCTTCCACAGTATGACTTATCGGGAATGTCCAAACAGGTTTATTTTTACTTCTAGTTGAATTAAAAAAGTAATCTCATGGTGAACCATTTATGTGAATTTAGGTCACTTTCAATTGTGATTCACTGCTCTGAATCATCATATCATGAAAAGGGGGTAATCATATAAAAGGGATGAATGTGTTTACCCACCAAATGTCTTGTCTGTCTCTTTTCCTTTAGAACCCATTTTTATTTGAAGGAACAGACGCATTAAAACGCAAGGAATGTCCTCAAGTCATAATCAAAACAAATATCACTTTAGCAGCAACAGTGAACTAAATCCAACACTGGTTTTTAACCTTAAAAGGTGTTTGCATTTTTTTAAATGTTTCCTTTTTTCCTGATTCCAAAGGCAGACATTGTGCAGAGGCATTAGATGATTCATGTTGTCGACAGCTTCACAGTCAAAAACAAGTGTGAACTGTATTATGAGGAAGCATTAGAAGTGGTAAACTTCAAATGCACTTTGACCAGTTTTCTACTTCCATACATAAAATCAGTACTATTGCATACCATTTGATTTAATAAACAGACAGTAGCTTGTGAGATGTGTTCAGTGAAACACGCTAACCGCAATGATCGGAGCTGTAGAGACTTTAATCAGCTGTTGAACTACAAGAATAATGTCAGGTCTGTTCCTGTGGATAAGGAAATACTGTTCTACGTCTCCCCTTAAACGTTCACACACTTAAGCAAACACATGCTTAGGAACGGGGTCTGCTCCAAATTCCTTATGGGACACGTAGATGGGGTGAATTCATGCAAAGACTATTTCAATTTGTGAAAATATGTCCTTTAAAAGGTATGGTGGGTAGTGCAAGACATGGATCCAGTTCAGAGTTATTATTCTGTTTGCATTATGATAGGGGAAAATCTTATGGGAAATAATTTAACTATTTTACATTTGAACGATTCCTTTTTGTTTTATTTCATGATTAATAATTATTAAATGTGGATTTTATGGATTGCATTTACTTTTTCCCCCCTGTAAATAACAAATATTAACACAATCATCAGATTTATTCAGGCCTTTTGGATGCAATTGAACAAGCTAAGCATATGCTTTGCATCTTCTAAAGTATGTACTTTTTTGTATGGAATATATTCAATGAGTCAATGGCATAACATTATCTGTGTGTGATGCACAAAACAGAGACAATTAACAGAGTAAATGAGGGGCACAGCAGCTTTAAGTGAGGTGTGTAAATGGACACTATTGAGAGAGAGCTGGCGTCCTTCTCCTCAGCTCACGGTGCTCTAGAAACCTATGGCGCACAATGCACTGTTCAGTTCCAGCAGGAAAATAAATATGTTCTGCGCTGTCCAAAAATACCATGTGAAGGCGCTCCCTGTGAAAGAAAGCCCATTACCCGACCGCAGGGAGTCACTGAGTGCAAAACATTTTGAACCAGATTATGTTAGATTTAGCAGTAGCAAAAACTTTACAAAACTAATCCAGACATTCAGCTATCAATCAACTGTGGTATGCAAGTCAGTGAGACGTATAATTGCACCAGTCGGCAGAAAAAAAACATAGCAAATTCAAAGGTCCACAATGTCTTTGGAGGTAAGGCAGTACTTTACCTCTCCTCATTCTTCTCGGTACGTAGTAGGGCAAACAGTCCAGTGCCACCACACAGAATGGCAGAAAGCACCTGGAGTGACAGACTGCCCTGAGGAATTCTGTTTCCTCACACAGACTTGCGAAGAAGCTTTTGTGTCTCCCCTGAGACCTGAGTTTTCTCTTCCTCTATAGAAACAAGATTGTCAGTGAGAAGAACGCCTGATGTCTTTCAAGCGTTTGGCCTTTTTGGTGAAAAGAGCCCTTCAGGACAGTGAAATGTCCACAGGTCCCTGAAGGCTTCACTTGGAACTGTGCGTGTTGTCAACGTCAATCACCAAAAGTCAGCTGGATTGCTTAAAAACTGGCAAATAGGTTGTGTCTTGCAAGACTGCTTTTCTACTCATACCAATATCTTCTGAAGAACAGTCATTTACTATATCAGTGTGAACTGCTATGTGATAATTTCACCAAATCAAAATGGACAATTCTCATCTTTTTTATGGAATATTGCAGTATTTATTATACATGATTTATCCATGCACATCATTTTATTTTTATTCATGTGCCCTCATAGTCTTTCATCAAAATATATTTTGCTCCCTCTTGCAAGGACATCCCTTCTCTAGTGATGTGTTTACCAGTGAGAGGGCGGGACAACCTGTATAGCAAACGACAACGATCCACAATCCACATAACAAGTCCTGTCCTACATTTCTTCTTGTACGAGAAGCCATTTCACTCGAATATAAAAGGAAGGAACTGACTATTTTTTATGTTCTGTTCATTTTTTAAAATCTAAACGCATTGCTTTCTGAAAGTAATAAGATATATTTAGCACCCGCTTTAAAGGAACACTCCGACTTTTTGGGACTTTAGCCTATTCACCTTATCCCCCAGGCTTGGGCGGAGTGATAACCGCAGCACCTGAGACGCGCTCTCTGCTCCTCACCACGGCTCGTCTCAGGTGCTGCGGTTATCACTCCGCCCAAGTAGCAGTGCTTCGCCTTCAGAGAATATAGTTCCCAGTATTTATCCGGTTAAAATATGTCTGTGTCTCATGTGACTTTGTTTTTTGTACACTCTGTGACTATACAAATCACAACATGTAAATAGGAAAATGTTTCCGTTATTTTGTCACTTATTTGGATTAGTATGCTAGCTGCAACCATTTACATCCAGTCTTTGTGCTAAGCTAGGCTAGCGGTGGGTGCGTCAGACAGACTTATAGCACGCACGGAGATGAAAAAGGTATGTATGGACTTTTCTAACTCTGGGGGATAAGGTGAATAGGCTAAAGTCCCAAAAAGTCGGAGTGTTCCTTTAAGGCATTGTGTCCCTTTAAAGGTGTAAAGGGACACAGGTTAACCAGAGCAGGTTAACACACCAGGACAAATTTCAAACATACCTTTGCATCTCATTTCATTCACACAAACTGCAGAATAAAAGCACAGAGGACAAAGCTCTCACACAAACTCACAGTGGGAACCTCCTCTTTGAAGTCCATTCCAAGCAGTTCAGTTACAGTTTTTAAACACCATCCAAAAGAAACAGAGAGAATGTCCCTCCCATCTAAACCTAAACTGAGTTTAAACGCCGGCTCATGACTGGTTGTCTCTGTAGCTCTGCTGTGTAATCTGTAGGTTAATGATGGGGAAATGGATGGTCTGGGAGAAGGTGAGATTTAAGGAACATTTTTAAATTAGGATGTAAGTGACAAACTGAAACACCTTCAGGAACAAGTGAAAATCAGATCTAAAAATGTCATACTGCAGCTTTCCCCCCTTAACTTTGACACAAAGTACACCACGTTCTTTTTGGGTATACTCAGTATTCTTATATTCCAATGTTTTGTGAGACATTGCAAGGTTCTCAAATAGGGACTCTCTTCAATAGGATACGTTGTCATGTTCCTCTGAAAGGAAAGTTTGAGAGGAACAACGGGGTGGGCCAGACTGAATGAAGCCTTGTGTTTCTGCTTTCCACTCATGTTAATGTTGCAGCTCCAGAACACAAATTAATATGATGGACGATTTCTACCAAGAGGCACAGTATTTGAAAACAGCATTTGGGATTTTGGGAAACTGGGAGAGTGGAGAATGTGAAACAAATAAAATCAATGATGTAGTATAAAATGTTTAGCATATGGCTACTGTCACACTTTTTACTCCAGTGAATAACATTAGGCTGCAAACAACAAAATATCCAAAGTCCCATGAAAATATGAAACAACTCATTAAAGAGGGGATAATGTTCGAACTCGAGTTTTTACTCTAATGCTGCCAGTGTTTTTTTACTGTCTTCACAGCTATAGCACACATTTACTGAAATTGGAATTTTAAATTGAAGGGAAAAAAACTATCTGAAATTATTCTAATTTTATTGGGTTTGATGTTTGAAACCAATATCGCGGTGCATTATTCAAATGGGAATATAGCATCATGTCAATATAGCCTTCTAAAAGGCTGTCATTGTTCCTTCCAATGATGTATTATGGCTCAAAAAGGATGTCGACATAAATATCGTCATGATTTGCGCATGTTAGCCTCAAACGTGTCGGAGGCTCTGCGTATAGCCACATTACATCATACGTGGAAATTTTACTTTTTCTCCACCTCTCATTCCCTAGCCCCCCTTCTAGCCCCTGTCCAGTTAAACGTGTTCCCCTCTAAAGAGAGTTTCTTTCTGCTTCTCATTCTCCGGCCAGAAGCGCCTCTGAACTTTACTGCACACACGACACTTTTATTACGGGTTTGGACTGAGAGACCCGCGCGCCATCAGAGAGCTGAATCAAGGACTATAAGCGTTTCAGAAGGACACTGAATCATACAGGTGATGTACAGTTTGGCTTTATGTTGTGATTGCTCTGGCTGTACAGGTGAGCACTGTCATAGCATCTCTGGCTTGATTAAGTGTATCTAGGGTACATTTAATAATTAAAGTAATGTGAGATTAATTCAAGCTGAAAGTTGTCAACCATCACTCATTCTTTTACATTGAGATGATATTAAATGTTCAAATATCTGACAGTTAGACAGTGAAGTGAATCAGATTGGATCACTTGGACATTTGAGCATTTGAAGCATGGAGATGTTATGGCTGCTACAGGATGTTAATACATGAATCGGAATAATGCAAAATATGCAGTATAGGCAACTAACCATTATATTTTGAATCGTGACTGAAGACAACTGGTTTTGTAATAGGAAACAGTTCAGATGCTTTGCTTAAATTGGAGATGAATTAAAAAGTTAATTTTGTTGCTTTTCCATAACTTATTATTTTAGAGAAATAATATTATTGATTTATATTTAAATGTGTTATGTTGCTGGTGTTCTTAAATGCAACCTTCCTGACCTTCAGCAAGCCATGCCTTGGTATAGATACACCAGAAAGCTCATACCTTTCATATGTTTAGACAGTCCAGGTATATATCAGAGCTAGTCAATACTTATTTAGCCTATGGGACTTTCCCCCTTCTTACTGTCTTTTCAACATGTGTGCTGAAAGATGCTGTCTTTCATTTTCATTGACCTGTAATAATATTGCTGGCTATAAAATTGTTAAATTAGATTATTGTGGATGAAATGCATCAAAATGTACTATATTTTCAAGTGGGTTTATCTGTTTAATTTAATTATGTTGGACTTGATAATTTCAAGACCCTACAGTTTTGTTGTTGACCCATCTTCATCGACATGGTCCCACATGTTGTCCAAGACCTTTAATTCTTTCAATAATAAAGACTAAAATCACTTATTGACTGTAGCACGTTTCATGGTCTCTCTGAGGGAATCATATACGGAGATTAACTGTTGCAGCAGTGATTAAGCAGTTAAGTCATTAACTGACATTTGTATCTTTGTAAAGTTACACTATTTTTATAAATAATGTTGTTTTTAATCCCTATTAATCTCACTAACTGTGTTTGACAAGAACACATACAACTTGAAAATGTTTCACCTTTGAGCAGGGATTATTCTTTTCATCAATCCTTTATCTTTCCACAGCTTTCTAAATCTTGAATGGTGTAGATTTAAGCTTAAACTGGGAGAAAAACTCCATTTCAAGAAGGACTTAAAAGGAAAAATTAAGACCAACACATAAGCCATTAAGCCTGTTTCCCAAGAAAGCAACTTTGCTTTCAACTGATTTTATCTTATCGTTCTTTTTCCTTTGCGCATTCTCTAAACACAGTCCAGAGCACTTTAACAAAAACACTGCACCCATTTCCCAAATAGCTTAAATGTTTTTCTGTGCTTTATATAAAATGACATAATATTTCTAAATTAGCTTTAACATAATTTGTTTTACTATAGTAATTTGAGGGAGCTCATACATTAAAAATTGACTTGTTTAAAGGTCACAGAGTGTATGCATGCAGTATGCATACTTTCTCAGAGATTTTTATGTTGTTTGCTTTATAAGATTAGATTTGGATGAGAGGAGGGTGAGGACAATCTCGATATGGAATAGTGTATAAAAAGCTCTAGTTTCACTAGCTATGAATAAGTGGCTCTCTGCTCTAGCAGTAGATAAGTCTATGTATAGGAAGCGCCTCTGCAGCAAGTCAAATAAATAGCGTCACTCCTAAAAGCGAGCCAACACTGGCATTGATTTATAAAAGTATGTTTGTCAAGAGAGGCAAACCTAAGCTATTTCCCCCATAAAACTCTGTGAACTAGATGAACAGCAATCTTTTCTCTATCCATGCATGATAGACATTCAGTAATTAACGGCAAGTTAATTACCAAACTGCCTGGTATAGAGAGGACCAGCTTATTCTGTCATGAGAACTGTACTGTTCCTGTGGTAATTTTGGGAACTGAAAATTACATGTTGGTTTTTCTCTCTCAAAAACCTCTTATTTTACCAAACCTTTATTATGAACATGGAAACCCACTTTATTTTACACAGTAGCTATATGCTGTCAGAATAAACCTTTTGAGCAGAGCACAATATATATAAAGGTTTTTGGTCCCACTTTATTTTAAGTGTCTTTAAATACTACGTGCTAACATTTAAATTAGTCATTTGGTTTAGTGCACTTATTGTGTATACATACATTTTTTAATTGAATTTATATAAATACCTGCATGTATTTACAGCTGTAATAATTTTCTGTTATTACATAATATAATATAATTACTCTGTCGACCCTTCCCTTGCCCACAATTAAACTTAACCACTAAACCTGTCCCTTACCTCACCTGTATCCCACGTCAATAGCATGATGGTGATAACGTTCTCTTAAACTTGTAGGTGAACGATGCTGTCCTTGCTTTTGCTGAGCATGTGTTTCTGGGTCTTCTCAGCCACAGGGTCTTTCGATTACGTTTACACTGGTGCGTATTCATTGTGCAAATTACATAATGAAATTGTTCAGTATTCATGAAAACCACACTCAGCTGTCTTTTTTGTTATGTCAAAGTGTTGTGATCCATGTCTTTGTATTTTCCATACCTTCATATGTCATCACAGAGCCTGAAAGCTCACTGAGTGTCAGCATACCTAATGAGCTTCCCCTCCGGCCTCTGATGGGTGACACATTAGTTCTGCCCTGCTACTTCCTGGACAACACAGTCAATGACCCTGGTGCCCCCACCAATGCTCCGTTGTCTCACCGAATCAAATGGAGTCTGGTCACCAAAGAAAAGACCACAAACATTTTAGTGGCGTCTGAAGGGATAGTAAACATTGACAAAAGGTATCTGGATAGAGTCACCATGCTGGGATACCCCATGACACCCACAGATGCATCCATTAAGATCACTGAGCTCCATTCCAATGACTCAGGAGTGTATCGCTGTGAGGTCATGCATGCGATAGAGGATAGTCATGATACTGTGGATGTCCAAGTTCAAGGTAGTGCTTGTGTGAAGATCCTTAAGCAAACTATTATGACTGTACGTGTGTGCTTTTTCTCTCAGAAATGTGAAATGGATGTACTTATGGTTCTTAGGTATTGTTTTCCACTATCGTGCAATCACCACACGATACACCCTTACTTTTGAGAAGGCCAAGGCAGCATGTATTCAAAACAATGCAGTGATTGCCTCTCCGGAGCAACTCCAAGCAGCTTATGATGAGGGATTCCATCAGTGTGATGCTGGCTGGCTCGCAGATCAGACTGTCAGGTCAGTTAACATATCCTCGTTAATTTACAGTAAAACAAGGCAGTTGTGGTGTCTGGAAATTCAAAGTAAAAAAAAAAAAAGCCAAAATGTTTCAGGTATTATGGCATATTGGTGCATGTATTTTGCAACTTATAAATGTATATTTAATTAAGTGATATAATGTTAATGTATCAATCTTGTACAACGGAAATATGATTTTTACCCTAAAATGTCCTGATAGCCACCAAATAACACATGTGGTACAATAGAAAGCCACATAATGGCAAATATACGCATAGGCCTATACTGTGCACAGTTTTATATTTACACAAAGACAAAACACCATCAGAGTGACATGTCACAATAATGCAATAAACATTAATCTAATAACATAAAATATAACACAAAACACCCTAATTTACATTACTGATAACAAAAGTAAATTGTATTTGTTTGTAGTAGTCTGTAGATAGATATATAGACATATATATATATATATATATATATATATATATATATATATATATATATATATATATATATATATAGATAGATAGATAGATAGATAGATAGATAGATAGATAGATAGATAGATAGATAGATAGATTACTGTTACACAAGTATTTCACCATACTGTATAGTAAGGTAACTTACTGGTCTTTACTTAGCATTTTTACAGTTTTTTATAAAAAAACTCTGATGTAGTTCTAAAATTTCTAACAATGTATATTTACTTAAAGCTCTTTAGTTTTGTTTGAAAATTTGATGGAAATAATGCAAAATGATTTGTTTTGGAATAAAGGTACCCTATTCATGATCCCCGTGAGGCTTGCTATGGAGACAAGTACCAATTTCCAGGAGTGAGGACATATGGAGTGAGAGACGTGAATGAGACGTATGACGTGTACTGCTTTGCTGAGAAAATGACAGGTACGTGTTTGAGATGGCACAAAACTAACCGACCTACTTGAAAAACTTTGAAATGCTAAAACACATTCCGTTTCGTCCTACAGGAAAAGTGTTCCACACTACTTCCCCTAACAAATTTACTTTTGAGGAGGCAGAAGCTGAGTGTGCAAAGCTGGGTGCCAACTTGGCCACCACAGGACAGCTGTACCTGGCATGGAAGGGTGGTATGGATGTTTGTAATGCAGGCTGGTTGGCAGACCGGAGTGTCCGCTACCCCATCAACATCGCCCGACCACAGTGTGGAGGGGGGCTGTTGGGAGTGCGTACCGTCTATCTGTTTCCCAATCAGACTGGTTACCCACTCCCAGACTCCCGCTATGATGCTTTTTGCTACTCTGGTACAAAAATCTGATTTTACTATTCCTTTTTTATCATTTATGAATGTCTATCCTCATAATTGTTTTATCTTTGTCCAATAATCCACAATAGTATGTGAATAGCGGTTGGATTTAATGGAGTAAGAACTGACAAGTGTGTATTGTTTATATATTCTTTTATTTAGAAATGGGTGAGGAGGGTTCAGGCTTATTTCCATTTGAAATCGAGATGACCACAGAGGCCGGCAGTGATTTTCTGAGGTTTGACACAATCACAGAAAGCCCCCAGGCCTTTTTAAAGCCCACTTCCACAGAAAATGAACTACAGGGAGAAGTTGTAACTTATAAGCCCGCAGTAACCACCAGTGTTGAGTTCCCATATACTGCACTAAATATTTCCCAGCTGCCCCTTTCACCACCTCCCAGCTCTGCTGGGGTAGTTATGGACATTGTGGAAGGGGTCACTGACAGGACTGATCTTGGCTCTGATTTATCCCATCTGAATGGAAGTGAAGCTATCATGTCTGCCACAGGTATGTCAATATGGGAATATACAGTAAAGAGTAATGTGTTAGGGATTATGCATTTTCTGTGATTTGACATTTGTATGTATTAATAACGGCGAAAAGACCAAAAATTATGCTTAATTTTAATCACAACTTATGTATCTCATTCATGGTGGCTTCAGTCACTTCAGTTCACGTTATAGTTATTGCATATTCAAATTTATCATGACAAAGGCACACTCAAGGACCGGTGAAGTTTATGAGCAGTTTTCTACTTTCTACTTCAGGTTTCTCTTTCTTCCTTATATGGTGCTGAGCGTCGGTCCACCTGAATCAATATAAACAAAGATTGCGGGTATATGGTTATTTGATTAGTCAGAGCATTATCAATGTATAATTGCTTAAATTTGGACTTGTTCCTTACAAAAAAGCTGGGTCAATGACGCTTTGGGAGCGCCCCTGCGTGATTGCGTCTGAAGCACGTGTAAACTAGTCCAATGGCGAGAATGAACGGCACGGGCGGTGACGTCATGACCAAGAAAGGATAAAAGCACATCCGATTAGACCAGCGTTAGCTTCTGTGCCTCAGCAAGCGCTCTGTGTCAAACTCTCTGTTATATTTATTGTTGTCTGTCACGAAAACCATACAGCTCAATCAGATATTTATTATGGCATCCAAACAATCATTCAAGTTGTGTTCTTCTCCCTGCCCTCGTTATCTTATGAGTGGGGATACACACAAACTTTTTGTGATGTGTTGGGAGCGGAGCATGCTCTGTCAGACTTCGAGGGAGCTGACTGTGAGCATTGTGAGAGGCTGCCGCTTCGCACGCTCCGTTCTCGCCTGTCACTCTTTGATGAGGGTGTTCAGGTGAGCGTTCCCTGCGGTTCGGGCCGAGGCAGCATGGAAGCTCTTAACGTGGGGATCGCAAATGGATCTCGTGGGGGGGGGGGGTTTGAGATGGGCCCCGCCCTTTCTCAGCCTTTACCCGTGGGATTCAGTGCTCTCTCTTGGAAGTTGGAAGCCCGCCCCGCAGTTCCTTCCACTCCGGAAGAGGCACTGGTGCTTCAGCTGTCTAGTTTCGAGGAACTAGATGTGCTGAGCGATGAAATGGGGGAAGAAGAAACGCCAGCTTTTTCCCCAGCGTATGAGGAGCTGGTGGAGGTATTGTCTCATGCTGTGTCAAAGTTGAACATTGAATGGCCAGCCGAGAAGCAAGGTGCTCGTCCCAAAAGCATATTAGACAAGCACTTTCTAACATCTAGGGCAGTACCTCCACCGAGGGGACTACCATTTTTCCACGACCTACATAAAGAGCTATCAAGGTCGTGGAATAAACCATATTCGTCCAGAGTTTTTAGCACTAAAGTACACGTTTATTCAGATATAAGGCTAAAAGAATATGTTTATGGGACGATGCCGAAAGTAGAACAGCCACTTGCCAGTTATCTTTCACCAGCATCGGCATCGTCCCTGAAGACCCCAATGCTGCCCACTAAGCCATTAAAAACATATACTATGTTAGTGTGTAAAGCGTATATGGCAGCAGGTCAGGCCGGGGCATGCCTTCACACTATGGCTATATTACAGGCATACCAGGCTGACCTGCTGAGGGACCTGGAGACTAGTGAGGGGGCGGGGCCTGACGTGGTTCTAGAACTGCGTCGGGCCACCGATCTGTCTCTCCGAGCCACTAAAGAGACTGCCCGTGCTACTGGGCGGTCGATGGCAGCTAATGTGGCTTCGGAGAGGCACCTTTGGTTAAATTTATCTGACATCGTGGCGAGCAGGACGAGGGCCGTGAGAGAGCGTCGTGAGGCCGGTGGTGTGATTACTAATAAGCGACACCTGCACGCTGCACCGGTCTCATATCTCTCACGGAAGAGCGGAAGCATAAAAGGAGGAGCGACGACAGTGAAGGACGAGAGAGGACAGGCCTAGACTTATGTTGTGTTTTAATTTATTATATGTGACAGAAGTCGTCCGTGAGGGGCTTCTGTCTTTACTTTCATTTTGTATTTGTTTATTCATTTTGTTATTAAAGTCTTTAAATGTTTGCCGGTTCCCGCCTCCTTCTTCCCACAACATCTAACCGCGTTACACTGGTGCTGAAACCTCAGAAGAAGGAGGAACGTGCTGTCAAAGAGTCCTCGCCATTGTGGGGAATCCATGGTGCCACTGAGCATGGCTGAGCAGAGTCCATAGCCTGGACGCTCAACGCTGTGTGCTGGAGTGAGTTGCCGGGGTGGCGGACGAACTCGCTTCCGGCCGCCTGGGTGCCGGAGGGGCGGCAGCCGTCCGTGAGGGAGCAGAGGAGTCACCGCTGTTCGCCGTGGGCCGGAGCCTGCTGGGGAGGAGCAGGGAACGGGGGACTCCTGCCTTCTGCATGTATCTGGAGGAGCCATCGCCGTCCACCAGGCGGCGGAGGAGTGTCGAGCCGTCCACCAAGGGCTGTCCAGCGCCACCGCCAGGCACCGCGGTGAAGATCCCCCAGCTGGTGGAAGACCAGATGGCAGTGCGTTGTGGGAACCGGACCAAGATTTTTTTTCTTCTCTCCCCTCTCTCATCTACTTTTCTCTCGTCTCGTCTATCCGTACCCACAGGTGCCACAACCACCGTGTCCGGTCCCCCCGGATGAGGAGGGTTGTGGATTGGGGTTGAGATTGAATGCCAAGAAAAGTGTACTTTCTCCAGCAGAGAGGATCACCTTTCTTGGTGTCGTGTGGGATTCAGTGACAATGAGGGCCGTGCTCTCGCCTGCTCGTGTCGCCTCGATCCTCACAGTTGTAAAAGAGATAAAGCTAGGCCAGTCACTCACTGTAAAACAGTTTCAAAGGCTGTTGGGTCTGATGGCAGCCGCGTCCAACATTATACCGTTCGGCCTGCTGTACATGAGGCCCCTACAGTGGTGGCTCAAGACCAAGGGGTTTTCCTCGAGGGGGAACCCACTCCATACGATCAAGATAACACGGCGGTGTCTCCGTGCCTTGGTTTCTATCCCAGGGTCCTTGCCTTGGGTTTCTATCCCAGGGTCCAGTGTTAGGAGCTCTTTGCCATCAAGTTTCGCTCTCGACAGATGCTTCTCTCGCGGGCTAGGGAGCGGTAATGGAAGGCCGCTCAGCTCAGGGTCTCTGAAGGAGTAATCATCTTTTGTGGCACATAAACTGCCTGAAAATTATGGCGGTCTTCAATGTGTTGAGACATTTCCTTCCAGACCTGAGGGGCCTGTGGGGTCTGTGGTCTCCTATATAAATCATCAAGGGGATCTGGGTTCACGTCCACTATTCAAACTGGCACACCAGATTCTCTTGTGGTCCCTATGGAATCAGAAACCTGGATACATACCTAAGGTTCCAACCAATGTACCATGGCCTATCATACTGCAGGCATTCTGTCCTCCTCCATTTAAAGATCTAGACCTGGAGAAACTGAACCTCATCTGTCCAGTCATAGCACTGGACACTTACATCCACAGAGCTGCCCAGTGGATAAAGTCTGATCAATTACTGGTATGCTTTAGCCCCCCTTAGAAAGGCCTTCCTGCATCCAAGCAGATGGTTAGCAAGTGGATAGTCGAGGTTATCTCTCTTGCAAATGAGGTTGTGGGCCAGCCTTCATCTTTGGCCACTAGAGCCCATTATACTAGGGGTATGGCGACCTCCAAGGCCCTAATTTCTGGGGTGTCCATTCAAGAAGTTTGTGATGCAGCTGGCTGGTTTTCGCCGCTTATGTTTGTCAGATTTTATGACCTAGACATGGATACCCCTGGGTTTAGAGTTCTCATGTCGTGACAGTTTAACACGACAGTTTCTTGGCCGTATGGCGTTCGGCCATTCTCGTTTCCTCTAAAGGGAACGTCTCAGGTTACAACAGTAACCCTAGCTCCCTGAGTAGGGAACGAGACGCTGCGTCACTTTGCCATACTTCCTACATCCCTGTGATCGACTTGCTTTGGCCTTTTCGAAGCTAACGCCGGTCTAACCGGATGTGCTTTTATCCTTTCCTGGTCATGACCTCACCCGCCCGTGACGTTCATTCTCGCCATTTCACTAGTTGAAACATGTGCTTCAGACGCAATCACGCAGGGGCGTTCCCAAAGCGTCATCGACGCAGCGTCTCGTTCCCTACTCAGCGAACTAGGGTTACAGTCGTAACCTGAGACGATTTCTTTATACCTCATCAAAAGTGAACTACTGAATTACGCTGAATGCATAAGTTTATTAAGCTAGCTATTGACACCTTACTCTAAAACGTACTAAAATATCACAATGATTTACAATCTATTAAACTAGATTTTTAAATTTTTTTGAATATCAGTTTATGTAGCATATAATAACCCATTAGATTTGATTATACTATAAGTTCATTACAAAACAAAGTAAAGTGTATACATAAATGTTCTAACTCTACCATTAAATGTTTTACCCTATGAGTTTTTTTTTTTTTTCGTTCTCATGGTAAATTGGACAAATCTGTTGACACCTTTTGTTGCTAATTCCCTGCACAGAGGTGGTCTTTCATTACCGTGCAAGCTCCAGTCGTTATGCCTTTGACTTTGTGGAGGCTCAGCTCGCTTGTAAGAGCATCGGGGCAGTCATTGCCAGCGCCCAGCAGCTGCAGGCAGCCTATGAGGCTGGTTACCATCAATGTGATGCTGGCTGGCTCTTAGATCAGACTGTCAGGTATGATTGTAACGAATGTTTACCTATATATATATATATATATATATATATATTTATTTATTTACATAAACTTCAAAATATAAGTATGCAAAATATTTGTGGCAGGGCAGATGACAAATGCTTCTAGTGGTATGATCTGTCTTAGCTGTGATCTGTCCAACCTGCAGATACCCACACTTGTTATACAGCAGGAATATACGGTATTTACAAATGTACTGTATGTAAATGATGTAAATGGCTATGCAGGTATCCCATTGTGTCTCCACGTGACAAATGCTCTGGCGATTTGGAGCATGTTCCTGGTGTGAGGTCTTATGGACTGCGTCCTGCCAATGAACTCTATGATGTGTACTGCTATGTGGACAAACTGAGGGGTAAGAGACTTTATATAAATATATAAAAACTCCCCCCACCCCCCCCCCCCCCCCCCCCGTAAACATTTCATTGTCTACGGGATTCTCTAGTGGGATAAAGAATCACTCTGAAACACTCTGTGTAGCTTGAGTTTTAAGTAAATGTTCACATTTCAGGCGAAGTTTTCCATGCAAGTTCATTCGAGGGATTCACTTACGATGAGGCAGTGGCTTACTGCCAGGACCAGAATGCCTCCCTGGCCTCCACAGGAGACCTGTATGCTGCTTGGAAGCAGGGCTTTGATAAGTGCCGTCCTGGCTGGCTTCTTGACCGCAGCGTACGTTACTCCATCAATAACCCCCGGCAGCAGTGTGGTGGAGGGATGGCTGGAGTTCACACGGTTTACATGTTTCCCAACCAGACGGGCTCTCCTGAACTGCACTCCAAATACGATGCATATTGCTTCAAGGGTAAATATAACATCTATAGTTAAATACAGGCCATAAAGTGTAACTTCTTTGAAATTTAATCTATTAAGTCTGTTGATACAAAATGATTCATTACATATTTGTCATTTTTTATATTTAGTGGATCTGGCTCTATCTCCGAATAAGAGAGTGAAAGAGGAAAAGATAGTGAACATGACATCCTTGCCTGATCTTCTCAGACCTGGTATGTATCTCAGGATATATACAAGTCAAAGACAAATACGAATAAGAAATATGCCTGAATCATACATACATACTGTACATATGAATAATTAAAAAAGAATGTTTTATAAATAATTTGATATTTAATATATATTAATTCAGAAATATTATTACATATTGGGGAATCACAGTGTGGCATTTTACAACTTGACCTTGCCTTGTCATAAAAAGTTAAATAAAAGTCAAGTGATCTGATCAATGATGAATTATTGAACACATAAGCGGCTTTCATTCACACAGGGTAGTTCTAGGAACTTAATTCTAGGAACTAGCCACCAGGGTGTTTCCCCGAGAATGGTTCCCTTATGAACATTTTCCTGGTTGCATTTGTTCTTGTGACTTTTATTTTGACGGCGGATTTATTTTGATGGAGCTGAGAACACCAGCCAGAGCCTGAGCACACAGTGCTCGCATTTTCCGTGTTCATTAGTTTACGATCTGTCTAACAGTCCTGTCTAATACGTTATTAGATAGAACTGTTATACATAGAAAGACAGTATATGAAAAGGCATTCGCGTATGCCGTGTGGTTGATGTCCAGTGTTGCTGGCTGAGCAGAAATACATAATCATGTTGTCTTCGACCCATCAAAGTTGCGTTGGATTTTTTCCTTAGCGAAAAGTTTAAGAGGCACATCTATCACTGTTTTCCATGTTCGTAGAGTTAGTTTCTGGAGTTAATTTTATAGGCTATAATCTGTGTGTTTACACAGCTTTTTTTTTAAATGGCGGGTGCTGGTGCTCAGCGTACACTAACGTCACTGGTAGTGCTGGTTTAGACCCTACTCTGAAGTAGGAGCTAAATTATTTCCTCCAAAAGGATTTCCTATGACTAAAATCATTCCTAGTTCCTGCGGTACCTTGGGTAAAACCTGGGTACTTCTGCCAATAGTTCTAGGAACTATGAAAAGGTTATAAAGGTTATAATTAATGAGGGTCTGTATGTTTCTCTTGATTGTTATACTCACAATTGGTAATTGTTTACTCACCCTCATCATGTCATTCCAAACCTGTATGACTTTCTTCTTCCCAACAAAAAAAAGAGAGAAAACACTGAGACATTTCACAAAATATATTCTTTTATGTTCCACCGAGAAAATAAAATCATATAGGTTTTGAATGACGTGAGGGTGAGTAATTGATAACAGAATGCTCATTTTTGGGTGAACTATCTCTTTAAGTCGCTGTATGTATGCACTGCATTGTAATGCATGTTTGAATAAATAGAACAAAAAAAAGGCAACATGTCATTGACCCATGTCCAATTTTAACAGCTTGTAACTTATGCGTCAGGAATATTCATTTTGTTTCGGGTGCAGTACCTTAGATTCTCTGTCTGTCTCTTTTTCCTCAGAGAGTACCCCTATCATTACTTCCATCCCTTTGGAACCCTCTGGATCTGGTGCATCTGGGGCCAGCAGCACATACGATCTGTTGAGCAGTGGGAGCGGGAATCAGCCGAGTGGGTCATCTATTGCAAGTGGAGACTCCTCAGGGACCAGTGGCTCTGACGATATGTTGAGTAGTGGGAGCGGTTACCAGCCAAGTGGGTCATTTGTTTCGAGTGGAGACTGTTCTGGGGTCAGTGGCACCGACGATCTGTTGAGCAGTGGGAGCGGGGATCAGCCGAGTGGGTCATTTGTTTCGAGTGGAGACTTTTCTGGGGCCAGTGGCACCGACGATCTGTTGAGCAGTGGGAGCGGTGGTCAGCCAAGTGGATCATTCGGTTCCAGTGGAGACTCCTCTGGGACCAGTGGCACTGACGATCTGTTAGACAGTAGGAGCAGGGATCAGCCAAGTGGGTCATTTGTGTCAAGTGACTCCTCTGGAGCCAGTGGGAGCGGGGATCTGCCAAGCGGGTCTGGAAACTCTTCAGGATCTGGCAATATCCGAGTAATCTTTTCAGAAAGTGACACAGTTTTATCAGGAGTTGGATCAGCTTCAGGGAAACCCGAGGAGGCTGGGAAGGGAGTCACCGAGATCCTCACCTTCCCCTTCGACCAGAGCTCAGACCTCTTTGGTGTGGACACCTCTGGATCAGGATCAGGCAGTGGGTCAGGGTATGGCTCTGAAGAAAGTGGATCTACCTCAGACTTTTCCAGAAGCTCAGGAGAAAGCGACGAGAGTGGAGATCTTTCTGGCATCTCCTCAGGATCAGGTTCCAGTGAGGAGTCCTCAGGATTCAGTGGTTTCCTGTCAGGAATATTCCCCTCTGGAGGATCCAGTGGCATTTCATTAATTGATGGCAGTGGCATCATCATGGTTGATAACCCACAGGTAAAGGTGTCCACTGCTCAAAAATTAGAACAAGAGTTAGGTGGAAGCCATGTGGATTTCAGCGGATCAGGACATATCTCAGGGTCTGGAATGAGCAGTGATATCTCTGGAATGAGCGGTGATATCTCTGGGATAAATGATGATAACTCTGGTATGAGTGGTGATATCTCTGGAGTAAGCGGTGTCCATAGTGGCTCTGGGAGTGGTTTAGCATTTTCTGGTCTGACATTTTTGGAGTCTGGCTTCATTGATCTCACAGAACAATCTCGTGAAAAGGAAGCTTCTGGGCTTTTGTTTTTTGGGTCTGGTGAGGGAAGTGGATTTACATCCGGAGGCTATGCCATTGAATCAGGAGAAAGATCAGGGGAATTAGTTAGTGGTGATATCACATTCTTTACCAATAATGGCATGATGGAAATACCCAACAAGCCCTTCCAAGGAATGGAGCTAGGAAGGGGAGAGGTGGAGTATAGTGGCAACGTCAGGCTGTCCTCAGGTAGTGGAGATGACCAAAGTGAATCCACGGTGAACTCCAGTGATGCTCCTTCAGCTGTACTACCTGCTCAAGGGCCATCAGGCCTGTACAGTGATGCTGCAGGGTCTTATTCAGAACCAGAGGGAATCATCAGTCAACTTGACGCTGTTACTTCTGCAGCTTTGTCTTCTACCACAGAGCCTGCCTCTTTACAGAGTCCATCTCTCACCGAAGGACCTGATATGAATGGTGAGATTCCTTTTGCATAATATGTGTTAAAATATAGAATAGAGATGCATGACATATCGATACCATATCCGTTATTGGCCAGTATTAACAATTTTTTAATGTATTGTGTTGGCCAGATTTGGATACTTAATTTTGTGTTGGCGTCATTTAAAGTCTGGATGAAATTCATTAAAAAAAATGTTGACCTTGTAATGTTTTATCAAACTGTCATAACATTCTGGTGAAAATGACAGAATTCTTTCTGGTGACGTATGCAGGACTTCTCCAATCATTTAGTCCACTTGAACCCCACCCCACCTTAACTGACTTTAAGCTTGCATTAATTTCTTAGTGCAACACACTCTCAAATTCCAATCAAGAACTGATGGATAGAACCAAGTCCCTACCCTACATTTTTTTTATTTTTTGATAATCTGTTACAATCGGATGATTATCGACCATAGCATAAAAATAATACTTATGCTCATGGGTGCATCCTAATATACTGTAGATATCTATTTCTTCTCACCTCTGGAGACAAAAACTGCTCTTTGCATCATGGTTTCATGTCTTGCTCTCTTTCTTTCTCAAAAACCATAATAGCTTCTCTTAACCCATGTGATCCGAACCCTTGTGGAGCTGGGTTGTGTTCAGTGAAGGATGGGGTGGGCCTCTGTCACTGCCCACCTGGACTGCATGGAGAAGAGTGCCAGTATGGTGAGTCAGACTGAATTGAATCAGTTATATCATAAGGTCTTGTAAAGTCACATAATGAGAACTTTTCAAAATGTTGTGTTTTGACTTTTTGAGAAACATTTGTTTATGCCTTTAATATATTTTGTTGCTGATATTTGTGTTCAAATGAATCAAATGATTGTCTCTAAGTGTCTCACTGTTTGCATTTCATTTATGAATAACTTCTGTTCAGTTTGCTCATGGCTGATTCGTGTCCTCACAGTCCATTTTACAGGTTATGTGGCATGTGTGTGTGGTTAAGTAATTTTCACCTTACTCAGCTCTTGTGTCCAGATGTCTTTTCAGTGACTGTTCACCTGTTGTTTTTGTTTAGCTGTGCCTTTGCTGCAGTCTGGTTTAATCAGCACGCCTGCTAACACCTGGTACATGCTCATACTTCTCGTCCATCTTCACATGAATCTGAACTCTAAAATTCTGCCTCTGTTTCTGGGACTGTAAGAGTGCTGATCTGCTCCTCATGAGAGGCATAAAAACTCATTCCAGGTCATCGCTCTTACAGTAACCACAACTGACTCTGATCTCTCCTTCAATGTACCATAATTCACTGAGTGTGCCTTCTCAGCTTATCAAAGTATTGATGGTATAATTACTCAAGAGATTGGCTTACGGTGTAGAAGCAGCTCCATGAGTTCTGATTCAATGATGCTCTCTGCTAAGCTTGGCCTACCTCAGGGCATCTTCATAGTAGTCAGCTTTAATTGCTAAACCTTTATTTGCAGAGGTTGATGTTTGCCATTCAAACCCTTGCACCAATGGAGCCACCTGTGTGGAGGTAGAGGACACTTTCAAATGCTTATGTCTGCCCAGCTACGAAGGAGACCGCTGTGAGATTGGTATGAGGCTGCTTCAGCTAATTCTACTAACGGTCTTTCAAAAACCTTCAAGGTGACACACAACTCTAGATGTCGCTATGGTGCAATGAGTGTCCCACAGAAACAAAGGACGTATTTGTTTTTTTGTGGAGGTTTTCCCAGTCCATTTATGGAAATCTGTTGCAGTTTCACAGCTAAACATACATACAGGAAATGATGTGTTTGCAGCGACTGTAAAAATATAGCAAGAAACTACAACCCTTTAGTAACTCAGACAGAAAGGGGCCGACTCTCTCAACTGAGGGAAACAGAAATTTTCCATCTAAGCAGAGACCAAAAATATCTCATTTGATCATTTTCTGCGGGACGTTTTTCTTGGCTTCATATGGAATTTAATCGTCAGTCTACTGGAATACTTACGATTGTGGAAAATCACTTTATCTGATAAGCTGATATTATGTCACTTAAAAGGCATTTGTCGCTTGCTTAAAACACTCACTGGTTTTAAACACTGAAAGATAAAGTGACTTTATCCATATCCATCGCACATTCCATCGTACATCTGTCATTTGTTTCTTATTTGCATGTACAGTAAGTATTAAAGGGATAATTCACCCAAAGATGAAAATTATGTCATCATTTACGCACCCTCATCCAAGCCTTTTGTTCAATTTCTAAACACAAATGAAGAGATTTTTAATGAAACCTTTTAGATTTCAAGTCAATTTAATTTTCCAACTTTGATGCTTCAAAAATCATGAGAATCGATGAGGTTCATTCTCGCATGTCACAGAAGTACGAGTGAACTTCTGTTTACCATTTTTGATGTGCTCTATGTATGTGTGACTGTTGATCAATGTTTATATGTGAATAAAAGCATAAATTAAATCTGTTTATCATATAAAGAGATTTTTTTCTCTTCAGAAGACTTATGAATAACTTTTACAATGTCTTTGAACTTTTTTGAAGGACAGAAATATCCTAGGTTTCATTAAAAACACCTTCATTTGGGTTTCGATGATTAACAAAAGTCTCACGGGTTTGGAATGACATGAGTGTGAGTAAATGATGACAGAATTTTCATTTTTTGGGTGAATTATCCCTTTTATCCTGTGTCAGTGACGATACATTTTGCGATAGTGGTCTTAGAGGTGAAACATCTGGTGAAACATTGGTAAATTTGCCACGTGATGTTGCTTCAGATCTGCACAGCTGTGGGGAGGGCTGGACTAAGTTTCATGGCAACTGTTACTTGCATTTCTCGGAGAGAGAGACCTGGCTGGACGCTGAGCAACGCTGTCGAGACTTAAACGCTCACCTGGTGAGCATTATCACTCCAGAGGAGCAAGCCTTCATAAACTGTGAGTGCCATTATCCATCTCTGTATGTGTGTTTATGATTCTAAGTATGTGTGTTGTTTCTCTGATTACAAGTAATCAACCTCTTCTTGTAACAGCATACGCTCAAGACTATCAGTGGATTGGACTGAATGATAAAACGGTGGAAAATGACTTCCGTTGGTCAGATGGGACCCCCCTGGTATGCCTAAATATTGCTGAGAAGTTATAATTCTAAAAATACACTCTTAAATATAAAAGTAGATGGCAATAAATAATCTTTGTTTTTAAGAGTGTATAGCTATTTAATTGATTGGAAGATTTTTCTCTTCCTCTGCTTAGCAATATGAGAACTGGAGACCTAACCAGCCCGACAATTATTTTAACTCTGGTGAAGACTGTGTTGTAATGATCTGGCATGAAAATGGCCAATGGAATGACGTTCCCTGCAACTACCACCTGCCTTTCACATGCAAAACAGGTCCAGGTATGCACACCACCAAACACGAACGATTTTCATCATTGTGAGAAAGCATGATCTGATGTTTAAATTTGACTTCCTCTCTTCCAGTGACATGTGAACAACCTCCTAAAGTGGAGAATGCCAGGATGTTTGGAAACAAGAAAGATCGTTACCAGGTGAATTCTATCATCAGATACCAGTGCAGTGAAAACTTCACACAGCGCCACCTACCTGTGATCCGCTGCTTGGCAGATGGACGGTGGGAGAAGCCACAAGTGCAATGCATATCAAGTAAGCTATTCAAGCATTGCCAAAAACTAGTGAAAACCAGATTTTGTTTTAATCTGTTAAAAAACCTTGATATTTAGATTTAAAAATCTATATATATTTACACTACAGTTCAAAAGGTTGGATTCAGCAAGATTTTATAACATGTTTTTGAAAGAAGTCTCTTATGCTCACCAAAGCTGCATTTATTTGATCAAAATACAGTATACACAGTAACATTGTGAAATACTATCATGATTTAAAAGAACTGTTTTCAATTTGAATAGATTTTAAAATGTAATTTACTCCTATAATGGCAAAGCTGTATTTTCAGCATCATTACTCCAGTCTTCAGTGTCTCATGATCCTTCAGAAATCATTCTAATATGCTGATTTGCTGCTCGAGAAACATTTCTCATTATCATCAATGTTGAAAATGGTTGTGCTGTTTACTTTTTTCCACTGGATTCTTTGATGAATAGAACGTTCAGAAGAACAACATCTATTTTCAATGTATATATTTTTGTAATAATGCAAATGTCTTACTGCCTCTTTTGATCAATTTAATGCATCCTTACTCATTAAAAGTAATGATTTCTTACACACACACACACACACACACAAACACCCCAAACATTTGAATGTTAGTATAAATCATACATATCATGGCCCAGTTTCACAGACAAGGGTTAGATTAAAGGGACATCACCCTAAAATGAAATTTCTGTCATTAATTACTCACCCACTCATGTCATTCCAAACTCATAAGACCTTCAGTCATCTTCAGAACACAAATTAAGATATTTACTTTCTGAATCAGCCATAGACAGCAACGTCATTACAACTTTCAAGGCCAAGAAAGGTAGTAAAGACAACAATGTGACAATTTACTTTTTGTGCGCAAAAAACAAACAAAAATAATGGCTTTATTCAACAGTTTCTTCTGTGTAAGTCTCCTACGCTGTTGATGTAGTAAACACAGTGCAGCGCTTCTGGGTTGTACGTCAGAATGCCGGCTCATTATTGGCCGACGCTGTTCACGTGAGCACCACGACACATGCGTGTGATGCTGATGCAGGAGCTGGCCAATGGTGAGCCGGCGTTCTGACGTAGAACCAGGGAGCGCTGCACTGTGTTTACTACGTAAACAGCGTTGCAGACAGCTCAATTAAAACAGCTCGAACATGCATTTTAGTCTGGAACTAGCCTTAATTAAGCCTTGTCTTTGAAACCGGGCACATACCGTTTTAATCATATCCTCCCCTTACATTTAAAAGATAAAAAAAAATAACAATTAATTTAAAATAACTATTTGTTTAATCTCTTTTGTCTATGTACTATATTTAAAAAATATATATACAATGTTCTGTAAAAGGTACTGAAATGTTTTCTTTTTCTTTTTGCATTTATAGAGGTCAAATCCGGACTGCAAAAGGAATCTTCTGTTCATCATCACTCTCATAAAGCTAGTACAAAAATATTGGAGAAACATCTCTAAGGAGACTTGAAGAGTTAGAGTTTAGTTTTTAAAACAGTACAAGTTTTATATTTATTTTCCAAGACACTGAATTAAGAAAATACATACATTTCTGATTAAAAAGTGTTATTTTCAAAGATAAGTGCCCATCTTGTATTGCCATGATGCAGCGATCTGTCTCATCCCTGCATTAAAAGATCAGAGACCAACCGATCAATTACTAGCAACCTTCTTAAAGATGTCTGAAAATATTAGCAGAAGGTTTTCCTTTTGGTAAAAGGCACTGAGCGAAGAGCTGGAAGTGCCCAGTTCTTCCTCTTTGAAGGACACAAAAATATTGTGTTTCTCTGCTAGTAAGCCAAAATTTAGGTACATTCACAACCCTACATGATGAAATGTGAAATATGAAAACCTAGAAAAGTTTATAGCCATAAAAGACGTTTACAAAAAATCTTATTTATTTCTAATACCTAACCAGACAGATAAGAAAACAACTTGCACAAGGATGTCATTAATTTGTTATGCCCGATTCATAATATAATGTGAAATGAGATTTATTGATTTCTCACAGGATAACACATAGTACATCCATTTTTGACTGGGCGTTTCCATATTTTCCTCTCAAAAGCCATAAATACATAATCAACATCAGACAGGTGGTCAAATCCAGTCAGATTATGAATGTAAACCTAATCATGGAAATTTACTTGATTGTCAGATGTTGTCTATCGCCCAAGACTATGCAGGGCATAGTGCTACATTAGGGGACAAGAATGATCCTGGATCAGATCTTTCTAATAATAGGTCAGATAGAACTATTAATGACAAGTGCCTTGTGAATATTTTACATTTTGCCTGTTTCGGTGAAGAGACTGCTTACTCAGTACAAGAGGCTGTGCCTCTTTCATCCCAAAGGCTCTTTTATACAGAATAGCTTTATTTTCATCTGATACAGTTGAAATGACGAATGCAGCATGAACTGCAGAAGATGCACAAACATTTCTTAAAGGATTTTTTTCCCCTCATAAGTTACAAGCAGAACCATACTCCATGGCATAGAAGACCCATCATTTCTTTCATTGAGATGGATGAGTAACAAAATTCAACAGTGAAAACATGAGGGGAAACTATACTGTCATTGTGATAATCTGTTGTTTATAAAGTAAGAGCTTTTAAAATGTTCCAGGAGGAATGTCTTCAGATGAACTTTATGTGTTTGAATAACTGTATAATAGCAAATGCAACTACTTTCCATTAAAACATTCCATACATCACGTTTAATACAGGACTGATTTGTGTGTTGGCCAGTAGAGCAAAGAGTAGGCTAAGAGAGGTTATTCACAATGTAGTACAGGTAATGGAAAGAAAACGGTTTTTACCTCACCCAACCCAGTCTAGAAATGTATTTTAAAACCGATGATAATGTTTGCCTAATTGGGTGTGGAGTGGAAGATATTAACTCCCCTGTGACTGAATAGACCCTTTTTAGCCACTTCGGACCTGTTTCTCCTATGTCGCCCAGAGAGCCTTGTTACAGACTCTGAAGCGCAATGCCTACTGCCATCATCTGGCTGATTTAATGCATGACATCGACTCTGGTATTTTTGTTGTCTACAAATGGCAGAATATTAAATTGCCAAAACAGCACATTTGCAAATTGACGTGCACCGACCAATATCTATAATATACTAACTAAACACTAAATGTATTTATAATAATACTGCTGTTTTAAAAATATTTACTGCTATTTTAACACAACTAATAAATATAAAAAGAATATTGCTATTACTAGTCCAGGGACATGATATTCATAAATAAATAAAGTTTTATTTAATAAAAAGCACATGCTTTTAAACACATGTATTACTGCTTTCTGATTCCATTAGTCAGTTGCACAATTTAAATGGTCAGATTTGTTCTTAACATTTATGCAACTGGCCCCAGGTGTTGAAAAGACATAGATCACACTTCGTAATGTACGATCACACACATAATGTAGCAATACACCCCATGCTTTTAGAGAACTTAGAGAAGGGAATCCAAAGCTACACATCTAAGAATCTTTTATTTCAGAATCTATTATTTTGAGATTAAAAGACCACCTAGTCTCACACAAATATTTATTTCTGAAAAAGCACATGTTGAAAATCTTCCTCAGTTTGAGCCACAAACAAGGAGAAGCAGAAATATTTAACATATTTATTAATATTGTTAAAGACAACGTGTTTTACAAAATATACTCAATATTTGCAGTTGTACAATTCTATTCCAATTTGGTTGTTTACATTGACTCACATTGAGTTATAAAATGTATAAACTGTAGTATAAAGTGTAGAGCAACTGCAGTGCAAACAAGTCAATTGATGTGAGCCATTCTCTTAACATGACATTTCAACAATAACATTTTCCTGGAGTGTTTTCAATTCATTTCTAATTTACAGCACTGTTTCTAACAGAACCATACTGTATATAAATGTACTCCAGACAGTCGAGATTAGTTCAGAAAAAATATTGTAGACCGTATTTGTGTGTTTACAGAAAATTACAAGTTGACCTTTTTCCTCTGTGTGCTAAAAGGCAGAATAAGGTCAACTATTGGACATTAGCACTAGTGGGATGTCATATTTAAGACAGGTGGAAGCAGGTAGGTTGCTTCATGGATAGGTTTTCTCACCTTGGTGGCCAAAGATAAGGAATAACAGTAAAAGATATTTACTTATAGTTTGTATATTTCATTATAAATCAGGACATCCATTTTGAAATACAAGAATGTTCATTGGTTGTGGGACTAACAATTTTAGTAAAGCATTACAATTAGTCTCCTTTTTCATTTAAGGTTTCTGCTTTTCAAATTTTGTAATGTTCTCTGAAACTTGCTTAAAATGTGATTTCCTAAAATTGAAGTTGTGCCAAAAGGCGTTAAAAATTAGATCAACTGAACCCTTCAAAAGTACATTAAAAGAATGACATCAATACAATAAAATACAGAGCAACAATTGAAGCTAATGTATATTGAAACAAATCATCAGCTATAACCAGCAGACACACTTCAGGCAAAAGCAGTGCAGACTAATCATCACAGCCCAGCAGCTCCATGCGTAGAGTTATCCGCTCGTGCCACTCCCAGGGCAGAAACCGCACAAATCGTGCAAAGAACGGAGGCTCAAACAAGTTCTTTTTGTATGTGTTGTTGTCAATGTTGCCTTGGAAAATCTACAGGAAAAAAAAACAAAAAAAAAAACATTTCAATTAGTCAGATGAAATGAACATAACTAAATGTAATATTTGTGTGCTTTGAGGCTTTTGTTCAATTTTAGAATTCTGTTAAAATAATGACTTGATAAAGGAACATAATTTAAGTGGAGTTAGTAGTTTGAAAATTATTTAATTTCCTCTTAGTATCCAGATCCCAACATGGAAAGCTGGGAGTTCATTGACAATGTAATCCTAATATTCACTGTACCCAATAAACAAAAAAGTATGAGAGGCAGCATGCGATACTGCACCCTACAATAACTATTTAATGTAATTGAACAAAAATACAGTAAAAACATGAATATTCTGTAATATTATTACAATTCAAAATAAATTCTATGTTTTTAAGTGTCATTTATTCCTGTGATGGAAAAGCTGCATTTTCAGCATCATTACTCCAGTTTTCAGTGTCTCATAATCCTTCAGAAATCACTCTAATTTGCTGATTTATTATTATTATCAATATTTATCTTTAAAGATTTTTTTCAAGATTCTCTGATGAATAGAAAGCTCAAAAGATATATAGAAAATAGAATTTAATAGAAACTTCTATTTCAAAAATAGAAATCTTTGTAACATTATAAACGTCTTTACTGTCACATTTGATCAATTTAATAATTACTTACCGATTAAAAATATAAAAAATATAAATAAATAAACAGGAGAACAGTTTAACAGCAGTATATAAATAAAGCAGAGATATTGTCGTCACTGTAACCTTATCTGTTCTCGTTATTTGATCCTTCACAATGCTCCATGTTTGTCCGTCATTACTGTAAGCGAGCTTAAAGGCTGAAACAAACTGCACAACTCCAAAGTCTTTTGCTCCCTGAGTGATGATGCCTGTGATTCTTTTAGGTTTCTCCAAATCCAGCTGTGACATGAGAAAAAACACATTAAACATCAGAGGCAAACGTCAGACTATGGTCCACAGTTACTTGATGTTAAATAAGAAAAATAATGGAATAGCGTTAGCTAATTTAGACAGTTATTCTTGTCTTTAGGTAGATCTATGCATTTCCTGTTATGATTCTTTAGCAATTGCGATTTCAATGATTTCAAGGAATAAATCCACCACTCCCCTACTTTTTGATGAAAAGGGAAACAACAGAAAATCAAAACAGCTTTCTAAAAACTAGACACGTCATCACACAGTCTCACCTGGAGCCACTCTGAGCGATTGTTGTTTGCCGCCGCCCAAGCGTTAGTCTTGCCTTGCTTGTCCAGGCGAGCGTAGTGGGGATACCAGGTAAAGGCATCTATACCCCAAGTACGGAAAATACTAGATGCTGTAAGCTGCACGTCGGAGATGAGACGGGACTTCATGCCCAGTGGATCAGTGCAACCGATTGTGCTGGACTGCACTGTCATGTTAGGGAAAATGAGAGTGCTAAATGCTAAGAATGAGTAAATATGAAAAAAGTGATTCATATAAAAACAGTGATTCATAGTTAACTCAACTGAATTTACCATTAAGCTCGCAGCCCACAAGTTCCATCCGGAGAGTACAAGCTTTACGGCACACCACAGGAATGATGCGAATATACTGGGCCACAATGGGAGGGTCAAACATGTTTGTCTTTGTTCCATCATTATCTGTATTTCCCATAAACACCTGAAAAAATACTGAGTCAGGGAATGATAATAGCTTTAAGCTGTATTGATAAAGTTGTATTTCTTACTCTGTCTTTTCTCTGGCCATCCGCTCTGTACACTGTGTATGTTTTGCCATCAAAGCTGGATGCCACCTTAAAAACCTTGACAAACTCAGCTGTCCCCATGCGGCTGGCTCCTTGGGTGATAATTCCAGTGAGACGCATCTTCTTCTGCATGTCAATCTAAAATTAGAAAATCAAGAGGAGGAAGTCTCCAGGAACAGGTTTGGGAAACACTTCTCTATAGCATGATGAATATTTGTCTCAGTAAAAACCCTGAGGAATCACTTTCAGAAGGATTTTTCCAGCTGATGAACAGTTATGTTTATTGATATGTGCACAGTTGTGTAATATCAATACACAGCTGTGTTTTGACATGAACAGTTATGTCGATTGATATATTTATTGTTTTTAGTTAATTGAAGGTTTAACTTTTATTTTAGTTAAGTGATATGTTTGTTACCATTATATTGAGTCTATTTTTTCATCTGGTTGATCATGCGATGTAGTTCTATGGTGTATATGGGCTTATCAGTGTACATTGTGTTCATTGTCTGACGAAGAGCCACTTGGCTTGAAACATCAACTGTGGTGAGAACATGAAATATATATATATATATAGTTTTTTCATCTTTATTTTGTGGGCTGTTGGAAGAACAGTTTGTGTATACAATCAAGTATCTAATTTTCTAAATTTCATTAAATTTCAATAAATCTAAATTTATTGTGTTGTGGAAGCGTTACATTGATGATATTTTCTTCATTTAGAGTGCCACAGAATCTCAGAGTTTCATAGCCTTGTTAATATAAACAGTGATTACATTGACATTTAAGATGGATCCAGCAGGATCAAATACATTTTTTAGATGTAAATGTTATTCTCACTGAAGCTGGGCTTGATATAGTAACCCCACTGACCGTAACATGCTATGGGTCATCGTATCACCCTGTTCCTCTTAAGTCTTCCCTACATATCTCCCAATTTACCCGCATTCTTAGAATCTGTAATAGAGATTAGGATTATCAACATCAAGCAGAGATCTTGGCAGACAGGTTCAGGCAGAGAGCTTACAATGAGGAGTGGTTTCAATCTGCTGTAGAACGTTTTAGTAACTCTTCTCAAGATTGCCTGGTCAAGAGATCTAAATGTAAAGAACAGCGAGTTAATTGCTTTATCCAAAACTCTCCATTGGCAAATTAATACATTGAAGGTATAATTCAGAAATACTGGTACATTGTTGAGAGTGACCCCAATCTGCAATTAATTGTTGCAAAATCACCTCATGTGGTCTAAGAGACCTCCAAATCTACGCAGTATGCTAGTAAGAACTGATTTATCTGTTCCTCACCCAACACATTTTTTTTTTTTTTTTTGAGTATGCCTAATATACCTTCTGGTAACTGTAAGTGTGGAGGTTGTCAACAATCTATTTTTACGCATAAAACACAAACTTTAAATCATTCATATACAGGGAAAATTAAGATCTGAGGAACGATTTTAAGTAAAACAGCTAATGTCATGTTGCATTGCCCTTGTGGACTTTGATATGTGGGCAAAACAAGCGGACAGCTTAAAATTCGTATTGCCAAACATTGAAGTGCTATCAGGCATCATAACCCTAGAAGTCCAGCAGCACAACACTTTTTTTAAGTTGAGACATTTGGTTTCTAGACTGCAATATATTGGCATTGAAGCAGTCAAATTACTATGAGACGGGGTGATATTAACAATTTGCTTTTAAAACGTGAAGCATATTGGATTTCAATTTTGAACACATTATCACCTTGTTGTGAATTCTTTACATTGTATGTCTTTAAAGCTCCAGTCCGTAACTTTTCCTCTTTGTCGCCATCTGTCTGTTCGAAATCTGTAACTGCAGTGATTCGCGGAATTATCATCTTTACGTGGGTTGTAAATCGGCATGAAACAGCGCGGATGAACACAGTGCTTTGAGGCGAGTGCTGCTGTCAGTCACCGCGCTGTGTGGATACTGGCATACAGAATCACAGATTCACTTTTTGAAAGTTTGACCAACATAAGAATTTTCATAAGAAAATGTCTTCTGAACAAGTAAGTAACATCCATTTTTGTTCTGACCAACTAAGGGGGAAAAAGCATTCGACATGATAAGCTTCGTTAGATTTAATCAACGCGATTTACAGCAACCGTGCAAATTATAGCCTACTTTGTTCTCAAATTCATGTTAACAACATCACATCAGCATAGCGTGACTAATGTTAAATTTAATGTGTTTTATGGTTACCTGTGTAGTTCAGAATTCATATTCTCCATAATAGCAAAACGAGAAAGGCACAACAAAGGAAACTCCATAACTGTGTGAATTAAGAAAACGTACTGTTACACGATTGAACTATTGAAATGTCTTACTTGTTCAGCAGAAAAAAGCCGTCTCTTTTTCCGTTTTGAACCCCTTCAAAACACGGAGTTCACGCACTTTTCAAAAGCCCCGCCGATGTTTAAATCCTTGTGTTCGCATGAGACGGTTTCTTTCTCTTTCTCTAGCCACCTTAAATCCGAAGTACGAAGTCTTTTGGGTTTTATAACTGCTGAATCTCCAGTTGACTGATGATTGTTGTTTGGATCTTTCTGGATGCCATAAGTTTAATCATGTAAAGTGCTGCGAGAAAAGCCTATACATCTAAACATCTCGTCACGCGCAGTATAGCCGGCTAGCCGAAACTCCTTCTTTATGTGTACGGGTGTGACGTCATGACGCAAAGACATGCTCGAATTTCCCGCGGAAACCCACCAGTACCACTGGAATTAAAATCATTATTACAAGCTAACCGTTTTGAATCTAGCTATGGCAAGCAGATAGTTTTGACCACTGGCAGAATAAGTTTTTTTTAATATAATTATTTTGGATTATTTTTAACTTAAAAAAGTTACGGACTGGAGCTTTAAGTATTATCTACTGCTGTATTCTATATTTTAAGGGTGTAGTATGTAGAAAACTTAATACATATAGAAAGGAGAGCTGTCCGAATATGACGCATTTTTTCCACCCGTGCAGCATCTCTGAGTGCAGGACAAAAGTTATTGACGAAGTGAGTTTATTTCCTGACTTATATTTTTAATCCTGGATGTTTATACTGCTGAGTTTATTTCTAACATTAAGCCTGTAAGTCGAGGGTGTTTCGCGATCTTTATGTATATTAGTTTATGTATCTAGAAACAAACTTTGTTGCATTATTTTCATGTAATCACTGTGAAGCTGCTTTGATACAATCTGTATTGTAAAAAGCGCAATAAAAATAAAGGTGACTTGACTTGTCATGTGAAACGCCCGTGAAAGTGCCGCTAGCATCGTGGCTTATCTTGCTAATATTGGCCATACCTCGTTTAACTATGGTTATGCATCTTTATAAGATATTCTATATTTATTATACTTTAATACCATAATGAGGACCCTGTATAATGTACCTTAAGTTGTTTATATGATTTTTTATATTCTGTTTACTTGTCTCTTATTCTGCTAAACACACTTTGAGAGAGCTGTTGAGATTGTTTAATTGGTAATGTACTGTTTATCACAACAGTATGTGGGCATGTATGTTTAACATTTAGTTATTTGCAGAAACTACCTCCAATGCATAATTAATATGTTCAAATGGTGAAACCCTGCACATAAATTAAAAGGTGGAAAAGATATGATGATCCCTACTCCCTGATCAGAGTACTGAAGTGGTTAAGACCATTAAAGAACTGACATTCAGTGGGGCAATCCCCAACAACCTAATAACAAAGAATATTTTTGCCTGGATTTATTGTATTATTTTGTGTTTTTTGTTGGTATATTTTCTTTAGTAGTCGGGTATTCTTTTTATTGTTTATTGTTTTCAGTTAATTTATGTTTTCACTTTTATTCTAGTTATGTGAGAGTAGTATGTTTGTTGCCCTTGTGTTGAGTTTATATTGATTTTAATTTTTTAGTTTTTTGTCATGTGGTTGATCATATGATGTAGTTCTATGGTGTATATGGGCTTATCAGTTTATGAGTTGATTGTCTGATGGAGAGCCATTTGGCTCGAAACGTCACCTTGGGCAAGAACAAAGATTTTGGGGATTTTTTTTCCCAACTTTTCCTTTTTTTTTTAAAGCTAATGAATAGCAAAGCCATTGACAGCTAATCCGAATTCAGTCAACTTCAAAAGAGCTCGAGCAAAACTGCAGCACACGCTTATAATAAACAGAACATTATAGTCCATTCCCATGGCTGTGGACAGTAAAATAGTAATCATTACAGTTATCTTTATAGTTATCGTTCTTGATGTGAACAGGCCATAAACACATTTATTTACTTTGCAAGCAACAAATGCATAGGATGGCTGTAAAATTAAGTTAATACTTTGAATAAAACAGTAAAACTATACTATAAAAAAAATCTCTTCCTGGTGTGGTACACCAGAAATGCCATTTAAAAACATTTAAGAAATCCAATTGAAACATATGGTTTGCATTTGTTAGTAAACATTTAAAAATTGTTTTTGTATTTTACAAGGAATTGCTTCAATTTGTGTTTAAGATATGAGGCACTTGAATAGAAGAATTTAGTGAATACAGATCCAATAAATTCAGCCACTATAAAGCATATCTTTTTTTTATAGATTTTTTGGTATTATACATAATATCATAAGTAACATTTTTAATAAAAAGTTTGAAAACAATTCTATCACTTAAATAAAGTTTCAATAAATTCTCAAAAGTATAATTGTTTTTGGAAATTCGTTTTTTTTCTTACTTCTAAAGAGGCAAAAAAATAAATAAAGCTTCAATCAAAGGGCTGATTGACAAACCTCAATCCAGGGGTTCTTGTCTTGGGGTGCCGAGCTCCAAGCGTTGACAATTCCCTGGTTGTTGAGTCGCGCAAGCTCCGGTCCCCAGTGCTGCAGCCCAAGAATGCCAGAGTGTACAGAGGAAGCCGAGATCTGGGACTCTACGATTCCTCCTTCCTCCATCCCCAATACATATGTACAGCCTGCATCATAAAATATGGTGTGGGTAACAGGGCATGAATTCTACTTTATATTCTCTTCCTGTTGTACGGCTTATTGCTACCTGACTTACTACAGTCGTTAAGCAGCTATACCTCAGATAGCCTACTCTGGAATTTGTAATCAAACCCTCAAAACTCAGGGTCAGCGAAAAGGCACTCTAAAACGTATATTATGACACTCAGAATTAAATGACCTCTTAGAAACTAAATATATAAAAACTCACGTAGCTGACATTGCTTCCCAACATATGGAGAAGGACACTGGCAGGTGTAGTCGCCATCCAGATCACGACACAGGCCTCCATTCTTACAAGGTTGGTTTTCACAGTCATTCACATCTGTGTAAGAACAACAAAAATAATACAGCCATGTCAATGTGATTATAACTTAAACAGTAAGTTGGACATGCTGTAACGGGATGCTTCTCTGCAGAGGAAGGGAGGTGTCATGTAACTGCAGCTGAAGGATGTATAATTATTAGTGTGGTGACTGAGGTGTTTGGTGGTACAATGCTCACGCAGGTGCTTGCAGGATCTCGAATTTTACTCTAAGGGGACAGAGAGTTCTGTGTGGAGCAAAGGGTGGGATGGTCCAAGTCCCGTCTGCTGCAAACTGCTGCAAACTGCAGCTACAGCACAATTGCTGAAATTAAACACTGTGCAGGATGCTAAATTGGACTGAAAAACACAATAAATGTCGCTTGCCAGCAGACATGCTGTAACATTTTTTGGTATAGATTTCTAATGAGAGATGTCTAATTGAAGATGTCAGAGAGTCAGAAATACTGTAGCAGATTCCTGCTTTAAGGTCACAACATCTACAAAATTGCAAAATGATGAAGAGATGTGTCAAAAGTTATCGAGATATTCACATTGAGCTTTTGACTCCCTGGTTCCACTGTCTCTAACATTATGTGGTGGACCATTATTTGGATGTTGTCTGCTAGGTACACATTATGACACAGGACTTTATTCCAAAGTACTGTATACACACTCACACGCCAGCTATAGCCCTATGTTTGGCAATACTCCTTGGCTGCATCCGAAATCGCATACTTCCCTACAATAGGTGAAAAGCAGTATGTCACAAAAGAAGTATACAGTATCCGAATTCACAGTACTCATAAAAGAGTAGGAAAAAAGTACCTGGATGACCTACTTCTTCCGGCAAGATTCTGAAGTGTGCATACGATGTACACTTTACTATCCCATGAGGCCACGGGAGATGATTTATAAATGGTAGCCTAGTGAAGCGACGTATAACTGACGCCGGTAGGCCACGTGATAATGACAACATGGGCATGGCGAATGTAGTACATTCAGATTACATTCATATAACACATATTTATACTATATAGAACATACTTTTTTAGTGGTCGTGAAGTTATTACTTGTTTAAAATAAGTATCTACCCAAGAGAGTATGCGATTTAGGACACAGCCCTTGTCTATTCCCATAAACTGGCTTATTGCAGTTATCATAAATCCCCACTAAGGGGCAAAATTCTCTCAGAAAAATATGGCAAATGGTATAAAATATAAGTTTTTTGCTGTGTACATTACTGTTCAAAAGTTTAAGGTCTAAAGTTTATATATATATATATATATATATATATATATATATATATATATATATATATATATATATATATATATATATATATATATATATATATATATATATATATATATATATATATATATATATATATATATATATATTTTTTTTTTAAGAAATAGATACTTTTATTCACTTATTAAGTATGCATTAAATTGATCAAAAGTGACAGTAAAGGCATTTATAATGTATCAGTAAATCAGCATATTAGAATGATTTCTGAAGGATCATGTGACTCTGAAGACTGGAGTAATGATGCTGAGGAATAAAATATATTCAAAAATATATTAATACTGAAATTTATTTTAAACATATTAACAATATTACAGGTTTTACTGTATTTTTAGTCAAATAAATGCAGCTTTTTTTTCAAAGCATTAAAAACAATCTAACCAACCCCGAACTTTTGAACAACTGTGTTAGTGTATATTATTTAGTGGGCTGCTTTTTACCACTTTTGGTCTTTTTGGAAAAGTATTACGAAACTAACATCCAAATCATTCTAGCAGAGATTATTTTTGTTTTTTACAATTTTGATCAGAAAATGACAGAATAGCTATAATTAGACATACACCATATTTTCATCCCAACAACAGAAGTCGTTTTGTTCCTAAACTGTTAAGAGGATTGCAGAGCACAAAAAAACATCACTCTGCCCAAAGCCTGGACAAACATTCGGCGCACGCACACACACAGTGCAGCCAGACAATATTCAATCTTGTTTTGAGGACTCAATTACAACTAATTTGTTTTGAGTTATGACCAAACTCCTAGAATATTAGAACACCATCTATTCTGAACAGACCTAAAAGATATTTCTTTCATGAGCATGGTAACAGTAAGCCAAATAGTTCAAACAAACAAACAAACAAACAAACGAGCTTTATGAGATTTAGTTTAGTGTCTGATTGTTTGGATTTGGCAAATACATTAAATGGAAATATTTTAGAACCTCCTTAATGACCAAAGGCTGGACTGCACTGTTCTTCTTAAGTATAAAACCTCTTTGGGTTGATTAAGGCTTGCCTAATTACACTGAAGCTGCCCCTGTGGTAAATATTCCTGGCTGCGTTTAAAAGCCCTTCCAGTGCTACTGCTAGTCTATCTGTAAAAGCAGCATTTTTCACTTTACATGCATTTTAACCCTTTGATGCATGCATTAATTAAATATATATATATTTTTTACTTAATGTATTTCTAACTTAAGAATGAGAATAACCAATATCCTTTTTATTTTTGCAATAGTATGTATTACGCTTTGGTTCACTGGAATTTTGTTTTGGAGGAGTTTAGAGGTATCTGGTAAATCCCTACTTTCATCAGCCATTTTGAATTTATGTCATGAATAAAATCCAAATGCCATATAAAGGGGAAAGTTGAACTACAGTAACAAATAACAGTCATTATGCAAATGCCTTATTGGACAAGAACACAATGTAAGTCAATGGCTACCATCAACTGTTTGGTTACCAGCATTCTTCAAAATATATTCTTTTGTGTTCAACAGAAGAAAGAAACTCATTTGGAACACCTTGAGGGTGAGTAAATGATGACAGACTTGTCATGTTCAGGGAACTATCCCTTTAATAAACATGTAGTTTATTTAACAAGACATTGGATAATTATTTAACTCTGTGCTAGCTACTTTAAACTGTGTTGCATGTCTTTTGTTTATTGATCCTTGCATAAACAATAGTCAATTATAGGAATTATTAACCTAAATATTATGAAATAATGGCTTAAGTACATTTTACTTCTGAAGACATTTTTTGAGTGTTTCTGCATGATGTTGCAGTGGTTAGGTGGTACAATTTGTAATTATGATTCTACGAAGACGTGAATGCTTTTTACAAGTCAGAATCTCTTAATTATGGTAATTCTGACATTGCGTGATGGTGGTTTAGATGTATCAGCATAATCTGAATGGTTAAAATGGCTTTAAAAGATGTGTCCACTCTAGTGGACATCGGGCAGCAAAGAGTTAAAACCATACATGGAAAGGGACTGTGGACTGGAAAATTTTAACAAAGCCTATTTAAAACTCACTATGGTTACAGCTCGCCCTGTCCACCACTGACTGCTCAACATCCTGGGTGTGTCTGGTGTTTACACCAGTGCCATTGTATGTACAGCACCACACATTAAAGATACACATACACATATATACATACACATTATACCAATGAAAGTGGAACAAATGATACAGCATGCAGTAACTGAAGTCTCTCTGCTGTGGACTTGCAGCCACAAGAATATTCGCCATGTAGGAGAAAAGTCTTAAAATGAATTAACCGCATTACATGGACTCCATGTATTGCATAACTGGGCATAAATGAGTCTTAATCAGCCTTACCCATAGGCCATGAACAGAAAATCACCAAATCATTGTGATAAAGTTGTCGCTTTCAATGCACTAGTATTATTATATTTACACAGAAATTTGTTCTGCTATGAAGTCCCAATGTGTGTGATCATTTAGTTTTAGTAAATGTTTAGTTCAGCAATTGAAGTTTTCCTTTTGAGGTTTTATACAAACATCCTTCTAAAACCATTCATTAGCCCATTGGAGTGATCATTATAGAGCTTTTATTTAGTGCAATAGATACTGACAAAGCTTGTTGTAAATCTGAAATAAGTGGTACAAAACTTACTGATTTGGCAGTGTACACCTTCAAACCCAGGTTGGCATTTGCACACATACTCATTAAAAACGTCTCCTCTTCTGGCGTTAACGATCACCTCACATGTGCCATCGTTTTTACATGGGTTTGGGTTACAAGGACCTGTTAAGGAAAACAGGCATAAGTTCTGATTTGAGTCTCACAATATGGACAAACCCATAGAAAAAAAAGTGATCTTTAATTGTTTCTCCTAGACAGCAATGAGATTTAAATGAGAGCAAATGAAGACTTGTGCCCATGTCTCCTTGTTTCAGCAGAGATCTCAACAATGTTCCAAACTGTGTTTAAATTTGCCATTTTTTACAACTTCTATGCTATGCTACCCACATATTTATATTTTGAATTTTTTTTATTGAAACTGTATGACATCTACAGTATCTGAGACAAAGTTGTTACTCAAATGAAAAGCAACCGAAATCATTTCTTCTCCTAAGCTATGAAAGAACAACCTTTGTTCTGAGCAATAAGGTTTTCCACAGGCAATAGGGTGACCCATTTAAACCTAATCTGAAATTTAAATGAGGATTAAACCAGTAAAATTCAGATAAACAACATTTCAAATTCTGACCATTCTCAGTGGCATTGCAAGTATCTCCAGCAAATCCCTCGGCACAGATGCAGAAAAAGGGATCTTCTCCAATGCCAGTCACACACGTCCCTCCATTATGACACAGGTTCACCTTGCAGTAATCTCCTACAGAGACACACATAAGCAGGAGTGAATGGAATTACAAAGATTAGACTGGAATTAGTTCTTATTTTATAATTTGGCAATGGACGGAGTGGTCCTGCATATTAAGCTTCAAGAGATACAAAAGAACCAAGAAGCGCTTTTCACGCTTCTGAACAGGATCAGGAGAGTACAAAAGATAAGAGATGTGAGCAGCATAGCCAATGTGCATGTTGAACTTTCGAAAGCAGATGTATATTTTTCAAGGATAGGAAAGATTCTATGACATAAGTGAACATAAAAAAGCGCTTGTATTGTGATAACTGTGTGTGTATGTACACGAGTGCAGCACAAAATATAAGCAATAATGATAAAACAAAACAGCCGCCCAATTAAATGCTGCTCATCTTCTGTTTAGGAAGCACAACATTCATTGCGCTTCATTCTGGCTGAACAACATGCTGGAATAAAAAAAAAAAGGCATGAACAGAATGCAAAAACATGAAATACTCTTAGGCACACGTTTATGTGTGAAACGTTACACAACATGCTTCCTGAGAAGCTGGGAGATTTGCCCTCTGAGCTCATTAAGATGTAGAGGTTAAGACGGGCTTCTTTGAATATGCTTGAGCAAGAAATTAAAGGCACTTTTCTTATACAACTTTGCACAGATTTACTTTCCAGAGTTTTGTAGTTTTGAGTAGGAGAGTTATGACGAGATCTCGCCATACTCGTGAATCGAGATCTCACGATATTAAAAAGTGACGATATTTCTCGTCAAGTTTAAAAGCTATCTTGCTATATCGGCATGGTAAGTTGAGTTTGTGGCAAAATCATTTACTGTGTTTGCATTATATTGTTCTGTCTTTTGCTGCTTATGATTATTCATATTTAGAAGGTAGAACCGAAGCGACATTCATTACAAGATGATTAGTGTAGGGCCATCACGATTCCTCAATTAAATTAGGGTTAAATTAAATAAATAACGAAAGTGGCGGATCCCATGGACTAGAATTATTTATTATTTATATCGTTATTATTATTTTTTGGATCATTTTCCAAGGCTACACGATATATTAAAATAATTTAAAATTGCACTAACAAAGGGGAATACAACAGTATGTTTCCAAATACGGGAAATGTTGTTAATCGCTATTTCAAAATAAAAGTTTAAACCCTCGCTCTAAGTTTGCTTGTTTTGATGTTCACATATTCTTGTTCAAGAAATGACAGCGGCTGTAGCATTTCTATCGCAAAGTGGCCAAATATTAAAGATTAAGTAAACATTTTTCAATTAATACTACCTTCACGCGCTATCGTAAATTTCCTACTTCTCACTTCTGAAGTCGTGATTACGAGCTCATCGCTTTCAAATTTTGACTCGAGAGGGCATTCATGTCCATTTTTTTAACTAGGAAACTAGAAGGCTATTTATGATAATTCCGATAGCACATGAAGGCAGCATAATATCGTTTAGTCAATATTAAACAAGGATTTGATCATGCTATAAAGTGTAACAACAACAACAACAATGGTGCTGTTCAATAAAATCATAAAATTACTTTTGATACTTTTGAAATCAATTATTATAGCCTTGTTGTTATTATATATACACTCACCGGCCACTTTATTAGGTACCCCATGCTAGTAACGGGTTGGACCCCCTTTTGCCTTCAGAACTGCCTCAATTCTTCGTGGCATAGATTCAACAAGGTGCTGGAAGCATTCCTCAGGGAGTTTGGTCCATATTGACATGATGGCATCACACAGTTGCCGCAGATTTGTCGGCTGCACATCCATGATGCGAATCTCCCGTTCCACCACATCCCAAAGATGCTCTATTGGGTTGAGATCTGGTGACTGTGGAGGCCATTTTAGTACAGTGAACTCATTGTCATGTTCAAGAAACAAGGCATGATGGTTCCATGTTCTCATTCTGTTTACGCCAAATTCTGACTCTAACATCTGAATGTCTCAACAGAAATCGAGACTCATCAGACCAGGCAACATTTTTCCAGTCTTCAACTGTTCAATTTTGGTGAGCTCTTGCAAATTGTAGCCTCTTTTTCCTATTTGTAGTGGAGATGAGTGGTACCCGGTGGAGTCTTCTGCTGTTGTAGCCCATCCGCCTCAAGGTTGTGCGTGTTGTGGCTTCACAAATGCTTTGCTGCATACCTCGGTTGTAACGAGTGGTTATTTCAGTCACTGTTGCCCTTCTATCAGCTCGAACCAGTCTGGCCATTCTCCTCTGACCTCTGGCATCAACAAGGCATTTCCGCCCACAGAACTGCCGCTCACTGGATGTTTTTTCTTTTTCGGACCATTCTCTGTAAACCCTAGAGATGGTTGTGCGTGAAAATCCCAGCAGATTAGCAGTTTCTGAAATACTCAGACCAGCCCTTCTGGCACCAACAATCATGCCACGTTCAAAGTCACTCAAATCAACTTTCTTCCCCATACTGATGCTCGGTTTGAACTGCAGGAGATTGTCTTGACCATGTCTACATGCCTAAATGCACTGAGTTGCCGCCATGTGATTGGCTGCTTAGAAATTAAGTGTTAACGAGCAGTTGGACAGGTGTACCTGATAAAGTGGCCGGTGAGTGTATATATATATATATGTATTTTAGGTCATTTTAAAGGCTATTGGTCAGTTAGGTCTATTTTATTACCACAAAAAAAATTACCAATTGCTTAATTAAATGTCAAAATAATTGACCAATTACTCGATTACCAAAATAATTGTTAGTGAAAGCCCTATATTAGTTAAATGATCGGTAAAATGCACCTGTATTATTTTGGCATTTTGTGACTTTCAGTCAAATAAAAGACTATTTTTCCAGTCATATTTTGTCATTGAAGATTTCTTAAATATAGTGTTTCTCAAAAATATCACCTTGTCTCGATCTCGTGAACCCAATATCATGTATCATCATCTCGTCTCGTGAGCTAAGAGTATCGCCAAACAAACCCCCTTGTGAGTCATATTTTCCATAGGAGTGCAAATCTCTTCCCACAGTGTCTCTGCAGTGGATTTGTTCTTGTCCTCACAATGGCCCTGGCATCTCCGTATCATCTGGATGGTTCCAATTCCAATTTATTTATAAAGCACAACATAATACAATGTTGACCACAGTGCTGTACAAACAGTAAGACATTAAAATGACAAAAGAAAAATAATTATAAAAATAAGAAATAGCTAAGCAAAAAATCTACTCTCAGACTCTAAAACCCACAGACACTTAAAAGTCTTAAATACACCAAAAACATCTTCAGACTCTTAAAACGGATGCCTGTGACAACAGTACTTGGACACTCATGTATGATCAAAACATAAAAAAATATGTTTTTAAATGCCTTTTAAACTCATTAAGGTGAGTTAGGTGACACTAACTAATGGTAAACATTTATTGAGGTCCACTTTATATTAAATTCATCTTCGTTCCATTTAACAAAATATAATAATTTGGATAGACTAAATATGATCTAATGAATAAGACAAATAAAGACAGATCATTCAAAAGAAGTTTGAACAAAACGAGACAGATGGCTTTTGTTAGCCCTACTTGATCAAAACTCAATCCTACTTTGATATCATGGCCAGTAAGAGTAAACAGATGGTACAAATCTGTGAAATGTTCAGTACCACAAATAAACTCCATCCCCCAATAAGAAAAAAACACTATTGAAGTAATGTAATAATATAATTTTATTTTGTTTGCTATATTATTATAGGCAATGTCAAATGTGGTGTAACAGAGGGATGCCCATAACTACTGCAAAAAAGCAAACCTATGTACAATTATTTTAAATGACAAATTTTACGCTCAACCTATTTTAATTTCAGTGAAGCAGTGGCACTCGATGTATTTAGCGGAGTTCGAATGGGGGAAAAAAGAGCATTAAATAAAAAAGCACTAAAAATGTAGGCTACTTAGAATTAAAGATATTACTCACCATTCACGGTACAAATGCTGAAAATGATTAAACTACCAAAAACAATAGAGGACCGAGCAAGGTCCCAGGTCTTCATATTGGTACTCTGCTGTCTGTTTGTTTCTCAAGTCTAGGAGCTTTTTCTTTACCACTAGGTCTCCTGACGTCATCCTCAAACGTGGAGCAGCGAGACGCCAGACGCGTTGAAGTACAGGGCGCGCGCACCGTTTACGCGCACGGCTCGGGCTCTATCAGTATTGTCAGATTATAACGACTCGATAGAATTGATTAGTCTGCGCTTGAAAAGGAAACGGTCCGAGTATAGGTATTATGCAGACGTGTTTTCCGGATGTCGTGTTGAACTGTTAAAACAATCTGCTTTGTACTAATGCATTTTGGGGCAATTTTCGACTACATTAGAAACTCCCAAAAATTGGCCAATTTAGCAATCCTATTATTCCCCTACTGAAATTCATTAGTAAGCATCCCATTACATGTGTTAAAAAATGATATGTCTGCCATTTGCTCTTTGTGTGCATCTTCTCATCGTAATTTAAGACATTTGCTGCAGGCAGTACGTCCACTCAGCATTCACTTCCGTGTTGGGTATGCGGTAAAGCAGCACGCGATCCAGTTTAATGCAACCAGATTGGTTAACTTACTTCCGAGTTCGACATTTCTCAAAGGATCTGCTTGGATGATGAAGGTCAACCCCCTATGTCTACTAATAATAGTCAAAGTTATCTGATTTTAATATCACATTTAGGTAACCCTATTTGCGCGCTATTTCAAAAATTTAAACTAGTTTGTAACCGCAACGTTTTAGTTGTGTGGTTAATGTAGAGTGGGCGGGCTATACTGCACTGTTGTTAAAGTAATAGTCAGGAAAACAAACGTCTGGATTCGCCGTGCCATTCAATCGAATGCATGTCCGACTGTAACTTACACTTATTTTTTATCACGTTACAGGTCTGGCCAGGAGAATAAGTAATCAAACGACGGTAAGTACCGGCACATGGCAGTTTGACATAATCGTCATCATGGACGTATACAACAGTCCGATGGGTTAACTTTGCTGACAAAGCTCACATAGCTCACTGAGTAAACACACACACACACACACACACACACACACACACACACACACACACATGCAGATTACAACTCTGGGTCGGATTTGTATTCAGTAGGGTTAGTTTTAAAGGTGTTTGCGATTCATTTATTGTCTGTTTTCCTGCATTGAATCACGTGACTTAGTTGTGTATGAAAAGACGGCCACATCATCAGGTCTGTATAAGCATCGCTATTTGTGATTAGATCTTCGTATTTCTTTTCTTTTCTTTCTTATCTTTCTAGATAAAAAAAAAGTTGTTTTTAAAAGCTCTGCAAAATCGAAGTAAGTTAGGCTAGTGTTCTTAATATGTAATATGGTGGTGTGATTTAAATATTAACGTGTGGGTCAGCCAATGGTTGAGAAATATTCATGGCTTTATTATAATTCGGAAAGTTAAATGTGAAATATGAGTCAAACAAGCAAGCAGGTAATTGAGTATTAGTTATTGGTTTGTCATTTTATTTGCAGGTTTATATACCAATCATTGGAGTCACAAGTTTTGTAAATAACAATATGAAGGCACATTGCTATAATTTGTACTTAGTCACCTCTTGTGTTCTGGACTGAAGAATTTTGTTCTTTTGCAGAATTGTTAGCAGTGATCCAGTATGGCAGAAGCTCATCAGGCTGTGGCCTTCCAGTTCACCGTTGGCCCTGATGGCATTGACCTTCAGCTCAGTCATGAGGCTCTTCGACAGGTCTACCTCTCTGGACTTCACTCCTGGAAGAAGAAATTCATTCGCTTTAAGGTACTAGGATTGTGTTTCTTACATGTTCTACCGCTGGAACTTTTGGCTACCTTTTCAAGACAATTTGGAGATTTAAAACCATCTTGGAGAATATCGTTTTTCATTGTGCTCACAGAATGGGATTTTGAATGGGGTGTACCCAGGGAGCGCACCTGGGTTCATGCTGGTGTTAGCAGGGTACTTGGGAAGAGCGCATTACTTAAAAGTGGACCCTTCCTTAGGCCTGTTCGGCAAACTTGGCAAACTTGTCCCGGTCAGGTATGTCTGTTTCATTTGGGCTTTTTGTTACTCCACAACACAATAAAAAGTGCCTAAATTGCATTAGTACATTAGAGGTTATACTCAATCAGGCTCCTCTTATGACTCTCTTTCTGCAGTAGGTATATGTCTGCACAAAAGCAGATGTTAGTTGGGGGTGTCATGGTGGGAACGGGTCTGTGGATTGCCATCATATTTTGCATGAGGACTGTCCTGAAGGGTCTGCTGTCCTGGCATGGCTGGATGTATGGTGCCCGTGGCAAAATGACCTGGAAACTTCAACTATGGCTTGTATGTATGACATAGAGGATTTATAATTTGTGTTAATTGTTTTCTGGAACACTTTATGCTGATCCATTCTTGGTTGTTTTGAACTCTGCCATTTGTTCTTTGACCTTGCAGGTGCTAGTGAAGATTTTTTCTGGCATGCAAAGACCAATGCTAAACAGCTTCCAGACATCGCTCCCTCATTTACCTTTGCCATCTGTGAAGGACACCATGAGAAGAGTAATTATTCATCTTTTAAACAACCCAATCAAAACTATTCTTCAGTTTAATATATTTATTTGAGATGATTTCTTCAGTTAAATGTCAGAGTCAGACTGGTAACCCAGGAATAGCTACTCTTCAATTAGTTTTTTCAATGTGGATTTTGGTCACTTGTTTTCAGAGTTAACTTGCTCAGGTGATTATCTACTGATGTTGGAGGTAGGTTGCACAGCGTGGATGAAGTGTTAACTTACTAAAACATGCACGCTGTTAAGAACCGTACTAGAAAAATAAACTAGCTTAGGTTTGATTTGAACTTATAAACCATAATTTGTTGAGACTCATAAGGAACATGCTTGGATTTAAGTTAATACTAATCTTTTTGACTACCCTGACAGTGAGATATTGATTATAAGTGTGAATTTTAGCTGTGATTTCTTGTTTTCTTGAAATTTTGAACCTGTAGTATCTTGAATCAGTCCGGCCACTGCTGAGCGATGAGGAACACCAAAGAATGCAGAGTCTTGCACTTGACTTTGAGAAGAACCTTGGACCAAAACTTCAGTGGTACCTCAAACTGAAGTCTTGGTGGGCCACCAATTATGTAAGTATAACACATTACTCGACATATCAGTTACTTCTCAATGAAGAACTGCAGCAGCAGTTTAAGTTCTTGTATTATGTTGTGTTATATTTTCTCCTGTATATGTCGCAGGGATGCAAACTACTTCCCTTTTGGAAAACATTGTTTTGGGTCCAATGTGACAAATACTCCATGTGATTTGTGCATATCTGAGTAGTTCATTCTAATTTACACACTCATATTTCCACAGTTTTTCAAAAAATATTGAGCAGCACAACTGATTTATGAGTAATCCTTGAACACCAAATCAGTATATTAGAATGATTTCTGAAGGATCATGTGATACTGAAGACGAGTAATGATGATTAAGCATAGCGTCAATTCTGGCAGGTCACGTTAGTCAAGCTCGCATCAGCTGACTCTGATCCACGTCTACCTATAGGAATACGACACCTATTACTGTAAACATATATAAGCTCCTTCAGTATTATCAGCAGCTATCGCGTTTCTCAGGAGCTAATTACCCTCCTCCATCCCCAGCTCCTCCTCTCGTCAGTCAGCATGGCATTCTGATTCCCCTTGAATGAGAATAAATTCTCGAATTATGTTGTACTTTAAAATCTTGAATTAATGATATCTGCAATACATTCATGTTGGTTCCGTTCTGCTTACCCAAAGGGGGGGTTATCGCTGCTCTGGATCCGCAGGGAGTTCTTGCCCAGAACAGAACCATACCGCCAATCCGTATACCGCAAACTGTATGCTAATTGTCAATCGTATTTGACGATAGTGGTCCTGACAGAACTGAAAATTCAGCTTTGTCATCACGATAATAAATTACAAATTTTATTATTTAAAAATAAGTTTGCTGTTTTGTTTTAATGTTATTCAAATGATAATATTGAAAAATAGTACTGTTTTACTGTGTTTTTGATCAAATAAATGCAGCCTTGATAAGCATAAGAGACTTCTTTAAAAAAGATAAAACATCATACTTACCCCTAAACTTTTGAACAGTACTGTACATGATGGGGAAAGTGAAAATTCCTGCATAATAGAAATTACTCTGACTATTTCACCTCTGAGTTTGCATCGTTGTGTGTGTGTTTCAGGTCAGTGACTGGTGGGAAGAATATATCTACTTGAGAGGTCGTGGTCCAATCATGGTTAACAGCAACTACTATGTAATGGTAAATAGTACTTGCCAGCCTCACATTCATATTTAGCTACAGGGTGCAGTATAGTACCTAGATATAATATTATTGTCTGCTAGGCTCTGTTTACACCTGGTATTAAGTCACAAGTAAAGGAGGGATGCACATACATGTTTACACCTGGTATTTTAATCCGTCTCTTTTGTCCACTTTCAACCACTTTTGTCCTGATTTCTGTCCTGATTTCTATTTCCTGATCTAATGGACAAATTAAGCATGCTCAATTTACATATGAATGCGTCCGGAGACGACAGAGAAACATATAGAGAGCTGCAGCTTTCGTTTCTGCTCCAATAACTGCAAGACCACGCCGGATCGGTAGTGTGTGTTAGATATCAGGAATGGTGAGAAAACATTGTGCTTGGTTTGTTTTTCATCTTCAAACCAAACTTGGGTCTTCAGCCGACAATATTTAAATCCCACCTGGCTACTCCTTCCCGTAATGTTTACGCATTAAGTTGGTAGGCGGAGAGCGGGCTGTCTTTTGGGGCTGTTCAAATGTATTAGACCACATGAGTGTTTACACTACGAAAGCAATCTGGTCGAATGTGTTTTCGTCCACCTCTGGAAGTGGTCGAAAGTGGACAAGCTCAAAACGTTTTAGACCCCATTTACACCTGTATTTAGCGTTGTCCACTTTTGATCTGATCGAGAAAAACACATCTTAATGCCAGGTGTAAACAGGGCCCTAGATAATCATAGGTAATTTTTTTGTTTCATATCAATTAGATTATACCTGCATTCTTAGTATTTAAAACTCTTTGTTTCTTTATTTCCCTCTGAACAGGACTTTCTTTATGCCTTTCCCACACATCTACAAGCAGCAAGAGCCGGCAACGTCATTCATGCAATCATGGTTTACAGAGGGAAGCTGGACCGTGCTCAAATCAAGCCGGTTAGACGATCAACCATATTTTGTACCTCATCTTTACTGTAAACAAATCACTTTTTTCATTTAATAAGTGAGTTTTGTTGAGTAAACAGGTAGATTAGCTTTTTTTACCATTTTGCCCCATAATAAAGGAGGATAAAATTTGTTATAGTTTTAGACTTTCACAGCCATAGAACCAATAAGTAATAGCACTGTAATAACCTCTACCCTCTTGTCACAAATGATTGATTGCCCTAACTATTATTGGGCCTGTCGCTATGGAGATTGATCTCTTTATTTAATGCAATAAATATTTCTATATTTCATGCCTCCTGATCATATGGTCATAATGGTGCAGCTTTTTGCACTATTGAACAGAGTTCCACTCTGTTCTGCCCAGTAGGAACGGCTATTTAATACATGCCGCATCCCAGGCCTGGAGAGCCAGTCTGTGCACCATAGGCCAGCTTCTGTCTACTACGCTGGTCATGTGTCATCAGTTATTTTTGATTAGCAGAGTAATAGATATGTTATTGTAAACTGTAACTGGCAGTTTTTTCTTATGCACAATAATATAATGACTTTGTTTTGAGAGGCTGGTGACACAGGACTGTACTGCTTAAAATCTCTCTCCATTCATTCCATTGCATTTAAAAAAAGAAAGAAAAGTAAACTTTTTTTAAAACTAGGACACTAGTTAGTCTTCATTGCGTACTAATGATTGCATAGTTCTCTCTCTTGTCCGCCCAACAGTGATTTGTGGACATTTTCTCTGCTTTGCAGCTTATGCTTCAAAACACCATCCCCATGTGCTCGTCCCAGTATGAGCGCATGTTCAACACCAGTCGCATCCCAGGCATAGAAACAGGTACTGAACAGTGACACAGTTGTCTTTGAGGCAAATTCAAGTTGTTGGGCAAAGTTCTTCCAATCCTGCTTTCCAAGAGGATTTTTTTTTTTTTGCTGCTTCATATTTTTGTTGAAACTCTGTCTCTACTGTCACTTTCAAATCGATCAATTTAATGCATCATTGCTAAATAAAAATATGAATTGAAAAAATTCTTACCGACTTCAAAGATTTAAACCGTTTTGTTTATATATACATTTTTAATTTATAATCATAATAACGTTGTAAATGTTTATTGTAAATTGACTTTCTTTCTGTAGACTCCGTTAAGCATATGTCTGACAGCAGGCATATTGTGGTGTATCATCGGGGCCGTTACTTTAAAGTATGGTTGTTTTATGATGGGCGGTTACTGTTGCCACGGGAGATAGAGCACCAGATGGAGAGGATCCTGGCTGACACGTCAGAGCCACAGCCTGGAGAGGAAACCCTCGCCGCCCTCACCGCAGGGGACAGGTATTCACTACACACCCAACAGCAGGAGTCTCTACCGTTTTCCTGTCTTTCATTGTTTGATCTCTTGTAACTGATATAAAGTTTAAGTGGGCTGTCAGTTTGAAATTAGTAACAAAGTACTTTTGTTACTAATTTCTCCTTCCTCTTTTTTTTTAACTTATTACTTGTCTCTAGTTTTTAGCAAACAGTCTAAACCATTTTAGATGGAGTAAAAGCTTGTTTTTTGTATCTGTGGCTGTGTCAGAGTGCCTTGGGCATGTGCCCGTAATGCCTACCTCAGACACGGCAAGAACAAGAAGTCTCTGGATGCTGTTGAGAAGGCTGCTTTCTTTGTTACACTGGATGACACAGAGCAGCGCTATGATCCAGAAAACCCTGTGGAGTCCTTGGACCGTTATGCTAAATCACTGCTCCATGGGAAGTGTTATGACAGGTGAGAAAGAAACTATAGCATGTGTTAAAAGAGACCATCTCCTTCCATGCCCCTTTGAAAAGGTTGTTGTGAGTCTTCTTGTTAGATTTCTCTATATTTGGCTGAGCAGTTATTTCGGTGGCTCCCCATAAAAAAAGTAAGCTTAACCAGATTTCTTGTGGGGAGTAGAATTTATTGAAGGTAGTTGTAGTGTAGCACAGTTCTTCAGCAGCGATGTTAGCATGTCAGCCTTCAAAGAATCTTAACCCAACGTTTTGTCTGTGGGACAGAACTTTATACATGAGGTAAGAAGGGCTGCATACAATAGAAACCTGTTAGGACCTCCCACAGGAGATCGATCAACCCTGCAATCTACGCTGAGCAATGCTGTTTCTATGTCATTCACACCCATCTGTTTCTTTGGGCCATACCTCTATATTGGCCATTTAGTTCACACTTTTACAGACACAGATAGAGTTGATTGCATCTGAGGCACAGTCACAATGTAAATACATCTGACTAAAGATGACTGAAAATGAACACAATCTTTCACTCTCTAGGAACCAGTACTGTACCTCTAAGTAGCTTTTATATAATGTGTAAATTTTAATGGTCATCTTCCCTTAGGTGGTTTGATAAGTCCATAAACTTCATTGTCTTCAAAAATGGAACAATGGGCCTTAATGCAGAACACAGTTGGGCTGATGCTCCAATCGTTGGCCACCTCTGGGAGGTACACTCACACACTACTTTTTTGGTCTACTACTGTCTGTGAGTCAGTCAGTCAGTCAGAAATTATTACTTTGATTCAGCAAGGATGCATTAAATTGATAAAAAGTTAATAATTATTATTTTTTTAAATGTAACCAGGAATTCTGCCTCAAATAAATTCTGTTATTTATTGCTGTTAAATACTGTTACAAACTATTCTGAAAAAAAGTATCAAAGTATATTAAACAGCAACTATTTTTTTTTAACATTAATAAGAAATGTTTCTTGATTGCCAAATCTGCATATTAGAATGATTTCTGAAGGATCATGTGACACAGAAAACTGGAGTAAAGATGCTGAAAATACAGCTTTGCTATCACAGGAATAAATTAAATTTGAATATGTATTAAAAATATATATATATATATATTAAGGAACATAAGAGACTTTTTTTTAAAAAGGTAGAAATTCTTACCGACCACATACTTTTGAATGGTAGTGTACGTCAGTTGTGTTTCACTTTTTAATTCCTATTTATCACGCATGAAATTATATATATCTGCTTCTAATGTAAACCTTGATGATATTTTTCATGAAGCATGCGCTCTCAATGGACCCTGTTAAGCTGGGCTACACAAAAGATGGCCACTGTAAAGGAGAACCTCACCCTAATCTGCCTGGACCTCAAAGACTCCATTGGAATATCCCATCTGAGGTCTGTGTATGATACACTTCATAGTAAAAACACTGATAACTCTTTCTTCACATCTTGCTTGAATGGATATGATGGAGCCAAGTATTCACTTGTTTGATATTCTGTCTCTTGTGCTTCATATTTCATGGCAGTGCCAAACTATGATTGCCAACTCTCTGTCTGTGGCCAAGGCTTTGGCTGATGATGTGGACTCTCATATCATCCCCTTTAGTGATTTTGGAAAGGGCCTGATCAAGCAGTGCAAGACCAGTCCAGATGCCTTCATCCAGCTCGCACTGCAGCTGGCCCATTATAGGGTGAACTGTCCTATCAGTGAACTTCTGAAGTATAAAAAGTTGTAGCAAGATATGCCTGCTTATTGCTCATTTGAAAATGTGAAATGGGATGTCAATGTTTTTTAATTGTACAGGACAAACGAAAATTCTGCTTGACTTATGAGGCATCCATGACACGTTTATTCAGAGAAGGCCGTACAGAAACTGTGCGCTCCTGCACCGTGGAGTCCTGTGCTTTTGTCCATGCCATGACCAACAATGAGACGGTACCATGTCAAAAATACCCCTTAAAACTCATTGGGATGTGGGGTGCACTATACCAGTGCAGATAGCGGAAATTGGGCAACACAATAATAATTTTTCTCTTGTATTTTTTAGAGAGAAGAGAAACTTCGTTTACTGATCAAGGCCTCCGAGAAACACCAGCAGATGTACAGAATGGCAATGACTGGTCATGGCATTGACCGCCATCTCTTTTGCCTCTACGTAGTGTCTAAGTACCTTGGACAGGACTCCCCTTTCCTCCAAGAGGTGTGTTACAGCATTTAAGTGATTCAGAAAATAAAAAGTAAGAATATAAGCAATTAAAAAGTATATACACTACACTATCATTAAAAAGTTAACACCTCTATCAGCAAGGATGCATTAAATTGTGAACAAAGTAATAAAGTGACAGTAAATACTTTTACATAAAAATACATTTAAAGGTACAATATGTAGGATTTTTGCAGTAAAATATCCAAAAACCACTAGGCCAATCTTATATATTTTGTTTAGTTGATTACTTACAATATCCCAAATGTTTCCAACTATTTGTAAATCGTGAGAAAATTGCGATTTTAACCAAGGAAACGGGGCGTGTGACCAGAGGTGAGGAGTCGCCAGTCAATGGCGTCATATCCGCGTTACCCTCGGTTTCCGCTCGTACTGCCATAGTAACTAGGGATGCACGATATTGGATTTTGGCCGATATTCGATATGCCGATATTTTCAAACTAAATTATGCCCGATGCCGATACCGATATATTTGTATTTTTTTTAAGTGCAAAAAAAAGCTTATTAAAGTTCTCAGTCAAGAGCAGTGAGTGATTTCCTCTTTGTGTTTTGTTGTTTTATTAACATTAAAGGGATAGTTCTCCCAAAAGTTGTATTTGTCATCATTTACTCTCTCAAGTTGTTTCAAACCCAAATAAATGTCTTTCTTCTGTTGAAAATAAGTTATTTGGAAGAATGTGGCTAACCAAACAGTTGCTGTACTCCAGTGACTTCCATAGTATATTTAAGCACAAGCAAGAAATTAATACAGGTTTGGAACAACATTAGAGTGAGTAAATAATGACCGAATTTTTATTTCTGGGTGCAGTATCTCTTTAAGGAGAAGCGGCAGCATATTATAGATACTATCTCTTTAAGAGCTGCATGCGACGCGTCTAATATACACGCATTTGACAAGCAGATTTTGTCTGTTTGCTTTCACTTTAGACATAACCAACTTTGTTTATGTAAATCTTGTGTGTATTTGACAGTATTAGCGCAATAAGACTCGAAAGATAACTTAGTCCAGTATTCAGGCGCTGTTAGACAGGCTGTTAGTTCCTGTGAGCGTCGGGTGTACGCGCTCAGAAAAGTGCATGTTAGAACAGCGCATCAGCACGTGAATGACATGTTTAACTAGCAAGACTTTGACGCACATGCAAATAATGAACTTTTGTGAATTGCAGTGTCCCGTGAGTGTAACTCTACCTTTGCGTTTAACTTACATGTGATGTGATGTGAATATATGTCACGTTGTACAGTATGTTGTGATGAAGGCACCAGAATTGAACTGATAGAATGCACAATACTATTATTTTTCTTCAAAAGCAGATCGTGGAGACATTCTAATCGTCCACGATCAAAAACCGCGTGAGACGCACACCCCTAGTTGGAAGTTCAAGTTGCTGGCTCTCATGCTTCGTTCACGGTCGCCACGTGCGCATAGGAAACACGCCACCCTATCGGCAAGGCTCATCGGCAGTAATATTCATATCTGCCGATGATGGTCATTTTTAGCTTTTATCGGCCGATACCGATGTTGTCCCGATATCATTGTGCATCCCTAATAGTAACCATGGCGACAGACATGGACAACTGGGTTATGCCTAGCAGGACGCTCACGCTGTTGTTGTTTTGTTCAAACATTATGGACCATGGCAAGCAGACTTTGAGACAAAAAGAGGACTAAAACGAAGATCAACATCTTTCGAGATGCCGAGAGTTCCACGTCCGCGACTAACTTCGACTTGACAGAGTGTTGCATGTACTTTATTAGACAGATGAGCAAATGTACATAAAACTAATGGATGTTATTTAGTTCAACATGATGAAATGTTAGAATATGATCTGTATGTTATTCTAATGTTGATCTAGCTTACAGCTAGTCTCATACAGCCAACAAACAACCTAACTAACAACATTCAACACACTCAAATGCTGTTTAGTGTGATAGTGTAACTGTTAGACCAAGTGAAACAGCGCTACGTTACCTCAAGTTTAATTCGTCTAATAAACTGACCTGTGTGAGTATTAATTCAGCACTTGCGTGTAGTTCGGTAGAATGAAATGTACTCATTCCTTTATATCCACGGGACTCGCGTTGCGTGTGACGCTGGTATTCGTCTCTCATTAGCAATCGTGCCCTGCTTCATACCACAGTCATGTTACAAACATCAATGTATTCACTCATCCATGAAAGATCCATCAGCTTGACGACAAGATCCATAATTCCGCTTAATGCTTTGCGTCATCAATATACGCCTTTGTTATTGTAAGAGGTTAGCGACCCCTGGTGGCGAAAAATCCTACATATTGTACCTTTAATAATACATTAAAATAAATGCTGTTCTTTTGAACTTTGTATTCATCAAAGAATCCTGAAAAAAGTTCCCCAAAATATTAAGCAGCACAACTGTTTTCAACATTAATAATAATAAGCAGCAAATCAGCATATTAGAATGATTTCTGAAGGATCATGTGACGCTGAAGACTGGATTAATGGCTGCTGAAAATTCAACTTTGCCATCACAGGAATAATTGCATTTTAAAATATATTAAAGGTGCATTAAGTGATTTCTGAGAAACACTGTTGATATTTGAAATCAACTCAAACAAACACACCCCTCCCTTCATTGCTCCACCCCCAGAAACCACGAACGCGCAATGCAAAAGTTGATATATCTTTATCCTAGCAGAAGCGAAGCAAAATAATGCTTGGTGAAACCTAAAGTGAAGATGATGAACAAACAACAAAGGTAGAACCAAAAAGGACATTTTTCACCGGTTAATCGATGTGTGACAACACCGGTATCACTTGGGGGGAATGGGAGACGTTGGAGTTTTTTCCTCTTTTTCCACCTCGCTTTTAAATCCCTTATGGTGTGTGTCCACTGGTGCAGAGCGAGCGTTTTCAACGAATTCCTCAACTTCCATAGGAATGAACTGAAAATGCTCACTCTGCTCCACGCCAGTGGACACGCAGCGTTATGAATTCCCAAATATCGCCAGTTCGGGAGCGGCAATTGCTTGAATGGTTGGTTCATTATTATTCTTAATGAAAAACACAACAACAAAACGGGACAATGACAAACTCCATTGTTTTTACATTTCGCTTTGAAACCAAATATTCCGCCATCATCTTGTCAGTCAAGAGTGAGGCGAAATGGGCGAAGTGAGGTGAAATCTGAGTCCTGCTGCTGATCTGTGCTGCGACTCTTGTTCGGCTCACAAGTCACTCTGAATTGAGCAGATGCCTTTAGTTTTTAATTGTAGTGTCTGTTCTCTAACTGAACTAAATGATTTTCATTGCTATAAAAAATCAAAACGACGGTGGGGGGCAGTGCCGCCGTAAGGAAGTGATGTAACCAGTGTAGCGGCTAAACACTGGTGACACCGGTAACACCAACTATCGCAGCAAGCCTACTCCAGACAAACAATGATGCTCATGATGTTACAATGTTACTATAGCTAACATTACAACAACAGCATATCTTGGTTCTGTGAAACAGCGAAAATAACGTTACTCGCATATGGAGCAGAAACTCTCTAATAACTCCAGTGCTGGAAAGCTTTTCTAATACTAATGCGGGTCCTAAAGCTTCTGCCTGATCATAACCCTTCTTTTTCCAGTAATCTTCCTCTGACAATTTCTCTTTTGTAATGTCCCTCTCAGCTATTTCTCTTTCTACAGTCTTTCTTCAAATGTCCTGCTGACTCACTCTCTCTCCTCCCCCATCATGAGTGGACATGCCCCCTACTGCTGATTGGCTGTGTTGTGGTGCTCCGTCCGATCCACTTTCAACAGTGTTTCTCAGAAATCGCTTACTGCACCTTTAAAATAGAAAACAGTTCTTTTAAATTGTAATAATATTACTATAATATAATATAATATAATATAATATAATATAATATAATATAATATAATATTACTGCTAAAAGTAAAGTAAACAGAGTCTTGGTGAGCATTAGACCTCTTTTAAAAACATTTTACGGACCCCAAACTTTTGAACAGTAGTGTATATATTAGAATATTATTAAAAAAAAGAAAGACATTTCTGCCTTTAAAGACAAGTAGCTGATATTCTTTAACAAAATTCAATGCAACTGAATGCAACATGTCCAACTTCCTGTCCCTGCAGGTGCTGTCAGAGCCTTGGAAACTCTCCACCAGTCAGACTCCCCTACAGCAGGTGGAGCTGTTTGACCTGGCGAGACACCCAGAGTATGTGACCAGTGGGGGAGGCTTTGGACCGGTGAGTCTTTAAAAAATTACATAATCTGGTAATCTTAAAGGAGAACTCCGGCGCAAAATGAACCTTTGGTCTAATTACACATTGTTACCTAGTCAACCGTTATCTGAGATTTGTTTTCATGATTATCGAATGTAAATAGTTTTATCTCTAAAAATAGTTTAGCCTATAAAGCTAGTATAACGCTAGTATATTGGGCATAGTGTAATGACAAATAAAAATCGCTTGTTAATACCACTAACAAGGCTGAAAATAGACCCACACTAACACGGTAGCATAATGAGGGTCGCTACCTTCAAACCGAAGCATTGAGAACTTTGTAAGTGTACAGACAGTTTAATAAGAAGATATTTTAAACATACAGTCAACTTCGCGTATACAGGCAGAAGCCATCTTTGAAATACAGTCTTTACCAGTCGATCTACGAATGCCGATCCAAGTGCGCTGGTGAGAATGTGAACGAGCTATAAGTTGTGATAAGGTGAGCGCGAACAGCAAGCTTGGAACGGCGTTTGTAGATCGACTGGTTAAGGCTGTATTTCAAAGATGGCTCCTGCCTGAATACGCGAAGTTGACTGTATGTTTAAAATATCTTCTTATTAAACTGTCTGTACACTTACAAAGTTCTCAATGCTTCGGTTTGAAGGTAGCGACCCTCATTATGCTACCGTGTTAGTGTGGGGCTATTTTGAGCCTTGTTAGTGGTATTAACAAGCGATTTTTATTTGTCATTACACTATGCCCAATATACTAGCGTTATACTAGCTTTATAGGCTAAACTGTTTGTAGAGATAAAACTATTTACATTCGATAATCATGAAAACAAATCTCAGATAACGGTTGACTAGGTAACAATGTGTAATTAGACCAAAGGTTCATTTTGCGCCGGAGTTCTCCTTTAAAATGCTTAGTGAAAAGATCAATTCAACTTTTTTTTGTCTGTTGTAGGTTGCAGATGATGGTTATGGTGTGGCCTATGTGATTATTGGAGAAAAACTCATCAATTTCCACATCTCTTCCAAGCGTTCCAGTCTAGAGACCGTGAGTACACACATAATCAAAGAATCAGTCACAATACACAGTGCTGGACTAACCAGCGAACCAATATCATTAGACAGCATCTTCAATGGTAAGTCATTCTGAAATGCCTAAGCCAAAGTCTGTAATCAAAATAATTTGGTATAATTACCTCCCAAAACTATCTTGCATATCAGGCATCTGCCTCAGATGGCAAGAGAACATGAAGGCGTTTGTTACTGCGTTTCGTCTCTGAGGCGAGAGAATGTTATGTATAAAAAAGAGCCACAGTGGCTTCCCGGGTGCAGCAACTTCCAATTTTATTATTAATACTTTGCGCCAGTTTCCAAGGAAGTGACCTTTTGAACACATGGGATGAAAACTGTGCTTTGTTCGATGTTCCAATTTACTTGGCTAACCTTGTTTTTGATTTATTGGCGTTTTCTCTCATAGTTTTTTGTATTTTCTCCCATCTTTCTTCAGGACTCTCATCGCTTTGGAAACAATATCAGACAAGCAATGCTTGATATGCTGGATCTGTTTCAGCTTGACAAAAGAGACCCAAAGTGATTTGACTGGTGAAAGGATTGTGCTTTTAATGACTAACCTTAATTAAGTGAAGCGTGATTTCTTTTTTTTTTTTTTTTTTTTTTTTGCTTTACCTGTGTTGTCCTGTTTGTTTGCATGTGTCTGTGAGATGCAGCATATAAAGGAGAGAATTAGGGAGGCAGTGTGAGAATCTCATTCTGTTGTTATATGTGCTGGTGCCTTAACATGTGTCTTAACTGAACAGTTCAGTGCAGGTGATCTAAAGTTAAACTGCATTTCATTACCAGGATGTGCTTTCACTCTTCGCTCGCAGTATACTTTACTGAGATGTACAAATTCTTAGACTGACACTTCAATAGACGACATTCTGTTGACTAGATGTCAAGGAGCATAGTAATTTGCTTGGCTGAAGTGTTTAGCTTATAAATAAAGCAAATCGCAGCTCTTTATTTTTGCTTTTGCTTTGCATTCTTATATTTGCAGTTTTTCAGCTTCAATATTAAGTAATGAATAGAAAGATGAGATTAAGCAGATGTTAAGTTTCTGAATACCCCATGTGTGCACTCATTTATAATGGATTTTGCTTGACCAGCCTGTTTTTATTGGTTGGTGTCGTGTTGATTCAGCATAATTGGAAAGGTCTGTTTTAATTGGTTAATGTTTATCAGAGCCTTTATCACAATAACTGTATATTTGTTTTTATTTGATTTCATTTATTTTTTTTCCATCATATTTTATGTTCCTTCTGACTGGTATATACTGTAATGGTTTTGAAAAATATTTAAAAAAAAAAAAAAAATCTGGAAAAAAATCTCATGTATTCTAAAACATTATTTTATTCAGTTATTTATTCAGAATAAGCATTAAACAAAAAAAAACATTATTCACAGTTCTTCATGACTAGTAGTCTGTTTCCTGACAAGATTATTCTCATAAATATAAGATTAAACATAAACATCATTTTTAAACGTAATTTACTCTTACAATTTTATCTTTAACTTCAATGTCGGAGCACAAAACAGCTTTTCCCAATTTTCTCTTTTCCATGGATATATTCAAACTGAATGCTCAACTCTGGTGTTTTTATATAGGCCAGAGTCCAGTCATTGACCTATTAAAGGCATCTCTTCTAAGTAGACAGTTTAAACAGGAACACAGTTCAATTTATGCAGTTTGACATTGGTCTACAACATACAGAGAAATGTGGTTGAGCCTTTATCTTTCCTGTAAATAAGTTAGTAAAACTTTAGAACAATATTTCCTAATAACTCTCTGTATATTGTCAAGTCACATTTATTTATATAGCGCTTTTTACAATACAGATTGTTTCAAAGCAGCTTTTCAGAGATAACAGGAAAATAATGCAACAAAGTTTGTTTCCAGGAGAAAATAGTGTCACAGTCCAGCTTAAGTAAGTCCAGTGATGTTTCATTTTAGTTGTAGAAAAGTTATTAATTTAGTTAATTTATATATATATACAGCCGCTCTGGGGAAAACCGTGATGTCATCGTCCAGCTCAGTTCAGTTCTCATATAATAGTGTCAATGCAGGCAGATCAATATAATTTTTGAATATTAAATTAAATGTTAAATTTAATGTCCCCAACTAAGCAAGCCAAAAGCCAATGACAACAAATGTGAAAAAGGTGACAAAAAACAAAACTCAATCAGGTGGCAGATTGTAGAAAAAAAAACCTTGGGAGATACCAGGCTTTGTATATTGTAAATTATTTCCTTTACACGAGAGTAGATGTTAAAACTTCATGCTGATTTGTACTCGGCTTTCGCCAAGATAAGCACAAACTAAGTCGTAGCTTTACAGTTACCTATGCTCCATCCATTTACGCTTCCTTCCATATGGTGATGTGAATCTCCTTCTGTCCGGGGTTAACGGCTGCAGTGTACTTGGCGCGTAAACACACACAACGGCTGCAACTACAGTGTGGTCTCCCTAGTGGACCAGCACGACGACCGTCTGGATTGAGCCTAGTAGGGGACATCTCTAGGGTCTTCAAGTGGGCACCTTCCGTCCTCAGTGTTTCATCGACTAGCCCACGACACCTCAAGAGGGCTCGACAGTGACTCTGGCGTCCCAGAGTCACCCCCCTCCGTCCCCCACTCAACTCAGCCCAGCTTACTGACCTCTACATCCCTCCTGCTGCTGAGGTTGCTCCTTCCTCGTAGTTCACATGTAACCTAACCCCAATCTCACAATCTCTCCACAACCCAACCATACGTGCCAACCCGTTTGACTAAGGCTGTCGAGCCCCACTGTCTTCGTTAAAGTAGGTTCAGTGGCAACGGTTCCGTATGGCATACTACCTACCGCAAAACACAATATCCGCCCAATCACCAACCCTCATTCACGCAATATACACAGAAACATAATAACTGTAATTACTATGCAAACTATACAAATAAACCAACAGACTCTTCGAGTTTTTCAAGAATTCTATGAAACCGTAGCGTGGCGGCCTGTATACAGCCAGACAGAATCTTTCCGTCTCAACCACAGCCAGTTGCTGCACCTTTCTGCTGCTTCAGATAAGTTCTTTACTGTGCGACGCAACTCTTGGCCACTGAATCCGACGTCTCTGAGGAACCGGGTTGTAGAGTGTGCCACAAATCCTTGACAACCCACTTCTACTGGATAAACCTGGACTCTCCATCCTCGCTGTTCTGCTTCAGTGGCTAGATGAGCATACCGCAGTTTCTTCCTCTAACATGCCTCATCTACAGCATCCTCCCATGGCACTGTTAACTCTATCAGTTGAACAATGCGTGCTGATCAAGACCACAAAACAATATCTGGTCGTAGGTTAGTGGTGGCAATCTCAGGTGGAAAAATAAGCCCTTGATCAAGATCAGCCAGCATCTTCCAGTCCCTAGCAGCTTCCAGTTGTCCTAGGCGAGAATTGGTTTTAACACCTTTTCTTGGTGGTTGCTCGCCTGGGCGGAGGAATATTGTCTTCTGTGTGTAATGTTTTGCTAGAACAGGTGGCAACTTATTGGTCATGTTACGCTTGCCTTCCAATGGTAAAGCCAAACATCGCAGTACTTGGTCATGGCGCCAAGTAAACCGACCCTGGCTAAGAGCCACCTTACATCCTGTCAAAATGTGCCTTAATGTGGCAGGTGATGAACACAAAGGACAAGAGGGATCCTCTCCTACCCAGAGGTTTAGGTTCTGTGGTGATGGGAGAACATCATATGTTGACCTGATAAGGAAACTGATCCTACTCTCTTCCATTGACCAAAGGTCTTGCCAGCCCATCTTACGTTGTTCCACACTCTCCCATCTCATCCACTCTCCCTGCTTGGCCTGGAAAATGGCCTTTTATACACCTCATCCTCTCCCCCTGCTTTCGCACCTCGTTGACTACCAGCTTCCTCCTTTGTGCTGGGCCTGCCTTGTGCCATTTAGGAGGAGCTAAACTGAGACCAAAACCCCCTCTTCCATGCTGTACCTGTCCCACGATATCACCAATTTGCATTGTATACAAAGCCTACAAAACTACCCATTTAATTGTCCAGCCTCACTTTATGTTTGGTGTCTTTAATCACTTTGTGCTTGAGTCAAAAAACAAAAAAAACCCTATTTGTTAGGTACAACGTACTTACTGTGTTTATGTTGGATTGCAAAAAAGGTTGGTTGGTGCTATTTTGGTCTAATAAAGGTAAGGTTAGGGACAGGTTTGGTGGTACGGGTAGGTTTAAGGGTGGTTTAAGATGTAAGAGAGGGGTCAACAGTATAAATATAGATGTATGTAATTACTTCCAGGTGGTTCCAGTGAATGTAAGTACAATGTAAAACATGGATGTACACAATAAGTTAATTATATCAAGTTATTAATTTAAATGTTAGTAATTAAACAATTGGACCTACTTTATATAAAAATCTTTAATTTAAAAGTGCACAAAGCGTAAATATGAAGTAGCACAACGGTTTTCAACATTAATAATAATAATAGTTTTTTTAACAGTAAATCAGCATATTAGAATGATTTCTGAAGGATCATGTGACAATGAAGTCCGGAGTAATGACTGCTGAAAATTCAGCTTTACCAACAAAGGAATACATTACATTTTAAAAATATATTAAAACAGAAACCAGCTATTTTAAATTGCAATAATATTTCACAATATTACTATTTCTACTAAATTTTTGATCGAATAAATGTATCCTTGGTGAGCATAATAGAATATTTTGAAAAACGTTAAAGCTACACGGTGTAATTTAAGTTGATTCTTAGCAAAAAACACTTTCTTCTTTCAAAATTATATGTGCTCATTCAAGTGTAATTATTTCCACCAACTAATCAAGTATTCTCGTAAGTGTAGAATCTGCCATTCAGAATACATACGAGTCGCTTGGATGGTGGCAGCCATGTTGCGCCTCCATCTTGAAAATACATTAGCCAAAAAGGGACATACCTGGAAATTCAAGCTTCGCCTTTCGCGCTTTTACAGTCAGTGGCACCGTGACGAATGCGAGGGGGAGATTACTCGTGACTGCCGGCAGATTTGAAAGCCTGTTGAAGATGGAGGATCAAGTCTATTCTCGAGGACATGTCACCAAGTCACCAAGGAAGCGAAATAGAGAATTAAAACGACAACGAAGTTGCCTGCTTTCTTCTCAACAGGTAATTCAGCCTATTTGTGTAAATTCGAAGTTTTATGGTTGCTAGGCTAACTATAGCATGGTTGTGCAAAACTAGAACGACGTCTAGGATACTTTTCCTTGCTTCAATGATGAAAAAGTATTGTTTACCTTGTAACATAAATCTGTGTGCTACGACGGATCACAGGCGATGAATAGTTTTACTGGCGCCATTTGTAGGCTATATCAAAGGGTACTGTAAATTTTTGTTATTTTTCATTGCTTTTATTTTGTACACAATGTAGCCTAATCTGATAATGCTGGGGTAGCCGATTCCAAGGGTGACGTTCACCTGCTGACATCTGTCCTGCAGTCTTATGGTACCAAAATAACGAAAACGTAAAACTATTATTAGTTTTACATAGAGGTCATAACCTACATGTTAACTGACTAAATAACTAAATGCAATTTGTAATAGTTTTCTAAAGTAACCTCATCACTTGAAGGAACACTCATGGATGAAGTCGAACTAGAAGCCATGTTAATCTTGGAATAATACGGCCACCGTAGGAGTTAAAACGTCCTCGGAATGGGAGGGGCTAGAAAGTTATATTTAGTTTGTAGTCATATACAATTTCACCGCTAGATGGGAGAAAATCTTACACAGTGTAGCTTTAAAAATTGTTTTGGTTACTAAAGTAACCTTAGTTCCCTGAGATAACGAGCATTGCACGTTTACTGACACGTATGGGGAAAACTCTTTTTTTTTTCTCTGAATACTGAAGCCTGATTGGTTTACGTCTGTGGACCTGCACAGCCAAATGGCATTTCAGCCCAACAATATGGGTGGGGCTGTCTGCCTATTTAAGTCACACTGATTGCCATTTAAGTCAGAATGTTTTCGACTGAGGAGCAGTAGTGTTGACTTCTGTGCAAGTGTAGTAGCACAGCATGCTACACAATGCTAGTTCCTGTTATCTCAGGGATCCAAGGTTACGTGTGCTGAGGTTGCATCATGCTGTCCAATCGAACCAGGACATGGTGCCCCCTGAGTTCTGACTGGAACTCATTGCAGGCCAAAAGCACTGCTATCATTTCCAGGCAGTTGATGTGCCAGTTCATCATTGGCTCCTCCAGGAGCTGAAAGCTGGCCTGCCATCGCATAGGGCACCTCAACCCATCTTGAAGGCATCCGTCG